CCGACGACGGCACCCATATCGAAATCCGAACAATCATCTTTCCGTCTTTTCCATCGTGCTTGAGATGATGGCGACAGCGCTTGATCAACCCCTTTTCGAATCGGTCGCGGGTCCTGCGACGACCGCCGCCTCCATTACACCCCCTCATAGCGCTAATGGCAAGAAAGAAGTCCCGGATGGGGTTCCTTCTGAATTGTCGGATCTGGAACTCGATCCTAATACTGCGGGTGTACCAGAGGCCGTATCAGTAGAGGAAGAAGAGGAAGACATCGAACCAGACCACTATTATGGCGGCGGCAAGATCCCTGTGTTCAAGCCAGTGAGTGCTGCCCTTGTCTAGTGTCACTGTGCTTTGATGATGTCACTGACGATGAAGCCTAGACCATGGACCAATTTAGAGACTTTCAATCTTTCATCAATAAAGTTGAGAAATATGGCATGCGGTCTGGAATTATTAAGGTTATTCCTCCCAAGGAATGGTATGTCTTCTCTACGGTGATGATGGCTTCAAGGGCCGTTGCCAACCAGCTCTTTCTCTAGGACCGACTCCCTGCCAGCGCTCGACGAAGCCGTCAAGAAGATTCGTGTGAAGAACCCGATCATGCAGGAATTCCACGGATCACACGGAACCTATACCCAGGCGAACATCGAGCGACAAAGGTCATACAACCTTCCTCAGTGGAAAGGATTGTGTGAAGAAAGTAGCCATCAGCCTCCTGCCCGCAGAGGTGAGAGGCGCCGCAACCAGGAGCGAGTCACTCGTACTGCCCCTTCCTCCCGAACCCAGACGACCCGATCTGATTCTCAAAAACGTCGTCCGGGGCCGGGACGTCCACCCAAACGGTCCAACCAGGTGAAGGTGAAAGAGGAGCCCGCAGAAGATACCCTTGATAAAATCAAGCCTGAAGGCCCTCCCACACCCGTGTCTCCTGAATCCAACCCTGTCGAGGCGAAGACGGAAGAGTTGAGCGACGGCGAGTCTCTCCCCGCTCCAAAGCCGAAAGGGCGACAACCTAAATCGGTCACCTCGCGAAGAAAACACAACAAAGGCGATGCAATTGACTACGTGGACGAGGAGGCTTTCAGGGACTTTGATTATCGCATCCATGACAACGAGGAATATACGCAGGAACGGTGTGAGGAATTAGAAACCGCCTACTGGAAGTCCTTGATGTTTAACAATCCAATGTATGGCGCGGATATGCCTGGCTCTCTTTTCGACGAGAACATCACAACTTCTTGGAACGTCGCCAAGTTACCCAATCTGTTGGATGTCTTGGGGCAGAAAGTACCTGGTGTCAACACCGCATACCTCTACCTGGGCATGTGGAAAGCTACTTTTGCCTGGCATTTGGAAGATGTTGATCTGTACAGCATCAACTATATCCATTTTGGTGCACCCAAACAGTGGTATAGCATTTCACAAGAAGATGCTCCTCGGTTTGAACAGGCTATGAAGAGTACGTTTACACAGCGTGAAGGGCCCATGAATAAATGCTGACTATTACGCCAGGTATCTGGCCCAGCGACGCCAAGAATTGTGATCAGTTCCTCCGCCATAAGACCTACCTTGTTTCTCCTAGTCTCCTCAAATCTCAGTACGGTATCACCGTTAACAGACTTGTCCACTATGAGGGCGAGTTCGTGATTACATACCCATACGGATATCACTCGGGTTACAATCTTGGTTACAACTGTGCCGAGTCGGTCAACTTTGCGACCGAGAAGTGGTTGGATTACGGCCGTGTCGCCAAGAAGTGCCACTGCGAATCTGACAGTGTCTGGATCGATGTCGATGAGATTGAGCGTAAGCTGCGCGGTGAATCGACGCCAGAATACGACGGCGAATTCGAAAGTGACCTCGATGAATTCGAGGGTGCTTCCGACCTCCTTACCCCACCACGAAGTGTCCCAGAAAAGAGTAACCGTGGCCGGAAACGAAAACATGACGGTGATTCAACAAAGTCGAAACGCATGCGAGTCAATGTCGACGTCCCACGGAAGATTCCTTGCGTCCTGTGTCCCAACAACTTGGATTATGAGGACCTATTGCCCACCGAAGATGGGAAAAACCACGCCCATCGGCGCTGTGCCCTCTACACGGAAGAGACTAGCATCCTCCGTGACGAGACTGGCAAGGAGGTGGTGTGTGACATTGACAAGATCCCGAAGGCTCGCATGGGACTCAAGTGCCTCTTCTGCCGCGAGGTGCGAGGGGCTTGTTTCCAGTGCAATTTCGGCAAATGCACGCGATCATACCATGCCACCTGTGCACTTTTAGCCGGGGTCCAGGTGGAGCAGGGTGAGATTGCTGTGATCGCAGATGACGGTAATCATTACTCAATCCCCAGTGTGGACCTCAAATGCAAATATCACCGTCAGAAGAAGCCAAGCTGGATGACGAGCGGCGATTCTCCTGATTTTGACCGCAAGCTCATCGAGACGGCTCAACGCATGGTGGCAGGGGATTTGGTGCAATTCCAGGCCGACAAGGAGATCAATGGGGCAGTGGTGCTGGAGAATCGACCAGCGGAACGGACATTACTGGTAAAAGTGCTCCCACGAGGGTAAGTTTTATTTTTTTCACACTTGTTTTGTTGTCGTGTTTGGAATTTTCCTGATTTGGAAATCATGATGCTGACCCCTGGTTCACGATTTAGAGATGTAATTGAGTTACCGTACCGGTGGATGCTTGTGGTACGGCGGAGCAACTTCTCGCCTCTGGCACCAGGAACAAAACCACTCCCTGCCCACTTAGCCCGAAAACCCGAGGGCCGGAAAGAGTTGGAATCGGCCCTGCCGGTGGTTGGCAATCCATTTGGCGATGGGCGATCTCCGTATCAGTGGGCCGAGTTCGAGACGGTCGACACTACTAATCACCGCTTTGCCCCACCACTGGTGCAGGTGAATTTGGACAAAGGTGACCAGATTTGGTATTATTTGGGCCAGTCATCGACCGAATGTAGGGCTCAATATACGCACAACCCTAGCGTGCCCGTCCACAACCCGCGCTCGAATTTCCTGGACAGCGTGAAGTCCCTTGGCGCCGTGATGGCCCGGCTCCCCTCTTACCCCCACCGCCATCTTGCTCAGTATGCTGCTGCCCCTCCTCACCACCTTTCACCTGCTGCTGCTGCCGCCACCGCCGCCGCTGCTGCCTCCCGCCCTTCCCTGTTGCAGCGACCTAGTACTCTTGCCCCTCCTCCTCGCACTCCTTCCTCTGCTGCTCCTTCTGCTAGTACTGCGATGCCGTCTGCCTATCGCTCCCTGCCCACTCAATCTGCCCGCCATGCTCCGTACCCTCAGATCGCCAAGACTCATCATCAATCACACCACCTCTCTCAGCAGCAACGCAGTCCGCAACAACAACAAAAGGAGCAGCAGCAGCAGCAGCAGCAGCAGCACAGCCACCATCTCCCCGCGAATACCTTTGCCAATGTTCGGGAACTTATTGCTCGTCGCCGCTTGGCCCAGATCACCGACCATGCCAATGTCTTCGCCGGGTATACGATCGTCAGCCCGGAGCTAGTCGTTGAGACGCTCCTGGGTCCTATGGGCTCCGTGCCGCCGCCTAGTGGCCTCGAGAAGCTGGAACTCGCCATGGCCCAACAACGGGTCCAACCTCGCGCCCCCGACGGAACCTTGTTACCCTTGCAGCCACTTAATATGCGTTCCGAAGAGGTGACCCGATTGTTGCAGATGCTCCGGTTTTCCCTTGTTAGTCACCGCGATCGGCTCGATGTGCTTCAGAAGAAGGAGACGGAAAATAATAAGCAGGAGAGTGCTCAGAAGGGCGGTGCTGCAGCTGTCAAGTTACCTCGCAAGTTTGCGTACCTGGAGCAGCAGCGTGAACAGTCGCCGACCGTCTATCAGTCCCCGTACGACATGCCTTCTGGTTTTACCGAGTATGCCCAGAAGACGTTCGGGTTGACTCCTTGCGAGCCAGAGCTCCCTAAATCCTCCCTGGCCAACGACTTCTTCGCCAGTCTTTCCCCAGAGGACCAGGAAAAGATTCTGAAGACCTGTGGCAGTTTCGTCCAACGGGCCATTGAGCGTTCCACAAGTCACAGTCGTCAGAGCTCCGCATCCAACCTCCGACTCGCATCGGCACTAGCCCAGCAAACCGAGAACCCAACGATAGACATAACAACAGTCGAGGACATGCCATTGTCAGGTCTGGATTTCCCACTACACGCGGACTCTCCGTGCTCCAGTTTCAGTCGGACGCACCTGCGCTTCCAATCACCGAACGATTTCAACGCTCACGGACCAGAAACGCATCACGACCATCATGACCTCTTTGGCGACCAGCAGGCCAACACACGGTTTTGGCAGCATGGGCCCTGGGCTGCAGGCGATGGAAACACGCCTAACGAAGAAACACGGCCATTTTTTGGACCTCACGAGCGGTTGAAGCATGACTATGCCTCATCTGACATCTCCTTGGGTCGAGGTCCCGGCTCTTTGCATTCTGTCGACATGGCTGGGTTTGGAATGGACGCCACGGACGATCTCTGCAACGTTCTTAGTCCTTGAATCGGACAACCCCCATCGACTTTGTGTACTTGCATGCCGGTATAACAGCATCATCTCCATGTAACGATTTGATTGACGACTGCATGACTGGGCGTTTTCAGCTTTTGTGTTTTTTTTTTTTATTTCTGATTTTTATCTTTTGTGAACCCCCCTTGGATCTGATTATTTCACGACGGAGTTTCACGATAGCTGGCTGGTTACGACAGCTAAGGCCTTGCGACGAGGCCGTGGTCATATTATCTATTTATCTCCTACTTGACGGTGAAGGCGGCCGATATACAGGCTAACGGAGGTCGAGAATCCTTCCAAAGTGGCGGTGGGAAGCGCTCGCCAGGTGGCCGGGCCGTTGTTGATGCCCAGACTGGCCCACTACCCGCCCAAGGAGACCCGCTCGACCTGTTATTGATGATACCTTCCATCATTTCCCCTCCTTCCTCACTTCCTCACGTCCCCCCTCTGTCCTGTTTTTTTTTTTTTACTATGTCCCTGTCCGCTCCCTGTTTGCTCTTCCCCTGTGGAATTTCGGGACTTCGACTTTTCATCGAAGATACTGGGCCTACTTTCGCCCTGGACTGCGGACCTCACGTACGCTAGAGATTCAAAAGAAGCAAAAAACCAAAAAAGCCATATTTCAAAATTCTCGAGCAAGTCCTGTTTCCATAATCATATACACGTCATGCCCCTTTGTTTGATACCCCCCGATTTCCCAGTGTTTCACCACGCTCGGATGTTTCCATATCCCTCAACGGTTCCCTCCCATTCCTTTCGTTTCCAGACACCCCCTCACCTTTTATTCTCTTCTTTCCTGGCGCTCATCCTTGTCTTTGCCCCGACCATGGTCTCGTTAGGACTGAAGGTCCAGTGCTCCATGAACTGATGGACAGCACTCTGTTCTCGCGCGTGAGAACAGCGGACAGGACAGATAACGGATGTGGCAGCCGTCACTTTTTCAGTGACACTCGCAGATACATGTATGTTGGAATGATAGCTGTGAATGGAATGCTTAAAAAAATATATATATATATATATACTCGTGTGCCAGATTGTAGTGACTTTCGCGAGGTCGTAGAATTGGGCTAAACGAGTTACTTGATATCAGCAGTCAATTGAAGGGACAGTTTGGTACCAGTGGCGGACCATTTTTTGAACCACCATTTGATTTGAATCCCCCGCATTTCGGGAGGCAAGTGTGGTTCCGTTGGGGTTGCACTCCACCGCATGGACCACAGGACGCTGATTCCTTAGCTTTGTCCTAAATACGAGGGGATCCTATCTGTCCTCAATAGCTATCCTCGGTCGTCACTTGGTCCAGACTCTACGTAGGTACCCACACGCGGTACACAGAAAGAGATCAAGCTTGACGCTCTATGCTAGGGTTAAAGATGTCAATTAAAGTTTCCGTCCGTCATATGTGGCCGGAGGAATGTTACATTATGCAGACACATGCCATGCAGTCCAGCGGCAGACCAAGGTACATACATGTACTTCCTGTACAAATCAGTTTGATGTCCGGGTCTGACGTCGGGGTTAGGTTCCCCTTTTCGTTACCCTTCTATCTAGTCTAGATGTAAATAGGCCAACAAAGAATACGAGGGGTTGAGACTTTTCTCCTGTCTACTCTCCATGGTGATATCTGGCCATCCGGTCATCCGCCCAGCCAAGATAAGCACAAAGGATAGGGCTTAGTAGGTCTAATGATAATCTCGTGCAGAACGCTTTATAAATCCCACGGTTATCAGCGCGGTCTCGGACCGCCCATCGTTAGTCCGACACCGGATTGGCTTATCAGTCGATCCAACCAGTTTTAGGCTCCGTGAGGGGACATCCAAGACGCCAAGTGGAGGTGTTTAAGGTTACTGGCCTCGTGTAGTACCCCGGACTCTTGGTGATGCAAGCCTGCCACTGATGCTATACGGACGACTACTTATATTCCTCCGCTCCCCGGCCCTAACCTGGCCTGGGTAGTCGAGGTAGCAAGTGCTAGTAGGAGCTGGCCTGACTACTGCCGTACTGCCATATCTATAACCCTATTGACCCCTTTCGTGATGCCTCTGGATTCCTTTCATATCTGCCCCGTGTCTCAGAGCTCTTAATTCCTACCACCATGCGTCAAGGCTCCGCCGATGCCAACGCCGATGCGGCGTTGGCCAGGATGGGCTACAAGAGTGAATTGCCGCGCAACTTGAGTATGCTGAGTATCCTCGGACTGTATGTGATCACCGGATGTACTCTGAATATGTTTCTCTACGATCAATAACAACTAACACGATTTCTCAGCTCCTTTGCCATCATGGCCGCACCCTTTGGTCTCAGTACCACCCTGTACATCACCCTCACCGACGGCCAATGCGTTAGCATCATCTGGGGCTGGGTTCTCGTCACCTTAATCTCCATCGGTATCGCCGCCTCCCTCGCCGAAATCTGCGCCGTGTACCCGACCGCCGGAGGTGTCTACTACTGGAGCGCCATGCTATCGACGAAGGAATGGGCCCCGATGATGTCGTTTGTGGATGGCTGGTTGACACTGGTGGGAAACTGGACGGTCACCCTGAGCATCACCTTCTCCGGGGGACAGCTGATTCTGAGTGCCATCTCGCTGTGGAAGGAGGATTTTGTGGCCAATGCCTGGCAGACGATCCTCATGTTCTGGGCGGTGATTTGGTTCTGCGCGATGGTCAATATCTTCTTCTCCCGATGGCTGGATATTATCAATAAAGTGTGCATCTTTTGGACAGCGGCGAGCGTGGTCATCATCTTGATTACGCTTCTGACCATGGCGGACCATCGCAACGACGGTGCATATGTCTTTGGTCATTATGATGCGTCGCAGAGTGGATGGTAGGCTTTCTCTCCCCCCCCTTTTTTTTTTTGTTGTTGTTTTTGGATTCTGGAAGTCATACTGACGACTTCACAGGCCATCGGGATGGGCCTTCTTCGTCGGTCTACTTCAGGCTGCCTATACCCTAACTGGGTATGGCATGGTAGCAGCCATGTGCGAAGAGGTGCAGAATCCACACCGCGAGGTTCCCAAAGCGATCGTCCTCTCTGTCGTCGCGGCCGGCATCACAGGCGTAGTCTACCTCGTCCCTATCCTCTTCGTCCTGCCCGACGTCAAGACCCTCCTCAACGTCGCCAGCGGTCAACCCATCGGCCTGGTATTCAAAACCGTCACGGGATCGGCCGGAGGTGGCTTCGGTCTTCTATTTCTGATCCTAGGCATCCTCATGTTCGCAGGCATCGGAGCCCTAACTGCCGCCAGCCGATGCACCTACGCCTTCGCCCGCGACGGAGCCATCCCCGGATTCCGTATCTGGCGCAAGGTCAACGACCGCCTCGACGTGCCCGTCTACGCCATTCTCCTCTCCACCGTCGTCGACTGCCTACTGGGTCTGATCTACTTCGGTTCCACAGCAGCCTTCAACTCCTTCACGGGCGTCGCCACTATCTGCCTCTCCACCTCATACGGGGTCCCCATTCTCATCAGCGTGATTCGCGGCCGCCAGGCCGTCAAAGAATCTACCTTTTCGCTGGGTCGCTTCGGTTACGCTATCAATATCATCACCGTCTGCTGGATTGTTCTGGCCGTGGTCCTCTTCTGTATGCCCGTTTCGTTGCCGGTCGATGCGTCGAGTATGAATTATGCGAGTGTGGTCTTTGCTGGCTTTGCGGCCATCAGTATCACTTGGTATGTCGTGTATGCCAGGAAACATTTCACGGGTCCGCCTGTCACGGGCGACGACATGGCCGACGTCATTCCGGGGAAGGTTGTTGATGCCGAAAATGTCTATCCCGATGATGCTGCTGCTGCTATTGGTGAGAAGAAGTGATTGGGATTCGTATGCTTCTTCACCCCTGATTTTCTTTTTCTTTTTCTTTTTCTTTTTTTTTTTTTTGTTTTAAATTACGATCGATGAAATGATTATGTATAGTTCGGTTTTTTATAGTTCTTTCACATGTATATACGAGATGACTCTTATGTCCAATGGAAAGTAAATCAATCAATCAATATATAATAAACAACACCAGCACAATGAAAAAAAATATAAATAAGAATATATATATATAGGAACAATTATACATCCATAAAGAATGTAAAAAATATTACAATAAAAATGAGATAGAATAGAATATATATGGTCTGATCGATAAGTATCCGCCTGGGTAACGATCACAGTCATGCATGCCCCAGGCACAAGGTGTCAAACGACCTCCGAGAGCCGCGGTTACTTTTCCAGCCAGTCAAAGGTCGACGGTCACCACCGAATCTACTGCTCATTACGGAGGAACTACTGGACCTAATCAAACGACCGACTTACTTCATTCACTCTTCCCTTCCCTCCCCTCCCTCCTTACAACAAGAACCAAAAAAAAGGGGGCAAGATCACAATTCCTGCATTCCTCACTTAATTGACGCGACCAACCTCGCTCAATTCGCCTTCCTGCTGGTTTTGTGGCTGGCCGGAAATCCGGGGAAAGCTTGTCAACCTTCGGGCTCAAACCACCTCCCAAGTTGAACTACTTTTCTTCTTCCTTCTGTTCTTTGTGTGTTGGTTGGTTTTTGTATGTTACTTTTCGGGGCCCGATTTGGCGCGTGAAGAGGTTGTATAATTATACATACATATATATATATATATTTTTCCTTTTTCTTGACGTTCGTTTTTGTTTTGAAAGTTTAGTTGGGGGGGAAAAAACGGGGGCTTTTTTATCTATCGTTATCCATGACGGTGCTTATCTGGGGCCTGATTCTTTTGCTCTGATGAAGCGAGTACTAGTACTTACATAGGCTTTTGCACCATGTCGGACTCTGTGGGTATGTTTTCTTTCTTTTCTTTTCTTTTCTTTGCTTTTATTACTTGGGGATTTGAACTTTTGGTTTATGGATGAAATTGATATTAATGGTTTACTGGTACAGATCGAGTCTTCGTCCACGCCCTCAACACCGTGAAACGCATCCCCCGAACCGGTACCGCCCGGCCACCCGCGTCCGAGCGATTGAAGCTCTATGGCTTGTATAAACAAAGCATGGGTATGGAATTACCCTGATTCCACCTCGGACATGGGATTATACTGACGGATAGGGGAAAAACAGAGGGTGATGTGGAGGGGGTGATGGATCGACCGGTCGGGAATACGGCGGATGTGTATGCGGAGTGTGAGAAATGGTATGTCTTTTTCCCCCTTTCTTTCTTTTTCTTTGGTCGCAAATCCGGGGGCAGGGAACTCAATACTAAATGAATGGCTAGGGATGCATGGTTCGCGCAACGGGGATTATCCCGCACCGAGGCGAAACGTCGATACATCTCGACGCTGATCGAGACGATGCATCGCTATGCTTCACAGACGCCCGAGGCTAGGGAGTTGGTTTCGGAGCTCGAATTCGTCTGGGATCAGGTTAAGATCAATACCTCCGCGTCGTCGGTGTCCAGTAGTAGTCCGGTGCAGGCGGTTGCGCCGCCGTTGTCACACTCCCAGCCGAGCTATGCCAGTATCGGGGGTCGCTTGGCTCGTTCCGACTATGAGCATTTGATTGCTACGGCGCGCGGGGATTCGCGGTTACGGGTGCTTAGTCCGGTTAGTCAACCCGAGGAGGTGTTTCAGCGGCGGCGCGGGTCCCATGGGGATCGTGTGCAGGATGAGGATGAGGAGGAGGAAGAGGAGTATGCGGAGGCGCAGGATACTCTTGACGAAGATGATGACGATCATGACCATGATGAAGGCTCTCATAACAATGCCACCGAGGATGGGAGTGAGCAGGACGCGGATGAAGCCGTACTACGCGGTCGTGGGCGGACTGGCCCCAAGAAACCCCCGGATGTCGATAATCGGCGATGGCGGCGGCGAGTCGAGCAGGCCTTGACGAAGATGACCGCTGAGATTGCGGCGGTCCGGGAGCAGATGGAAGCCCGCGCGGTGGCTCATCGGCGGCGGAATACTGTCTGGGCGTGGTTGAAATGGCTCGTTTGGGTCACGCTTCGGCAGGTCATTTGGGACCTGGCGATTCTGGGGATGATGCTGATCTGGATGCGGATTCGTGGGGACCGACGGCTGGAGAGTAAGCTCAAGGTCGGATGGACGGAGGTGAAGACACGGTTGTCGAAGTTGAAAGGGCTTCGACGGGTGTCCAAGGTACATAAATGCCCTTAGTGTGTGTGTGTGTGTGTGGCTGTCGTTTGCTTTCCCTTCGAGTACATATTCTTTCATATATCCTGATTAGATTCCCTTGTCTTTCCTTGTTTATTTTCTTTTGTCATGCCATGTCAATGTCAGGAGGTTGGATTGGTGTTGGTTAGAGTCAAGGCTTCACTGTATTCTAGCATAGAAGTCGCGTTGCAATTGCCACATAACTCAAGTCCTTCAAATAACCCTATCGAAGACGTAGACACGACACCTCTATACCGAGAAACCAGGACACTCAATTCCTATGCTAATATGTACACATACAAACAGTCCACAAACCAGACCAGACCAGACAGACATAAAAACAAAACCTAATACTGAGGACCAGGGAACTGAGCATAAATCTGCTTGGGACGCAGATGAACCGGGGTCTGGCCCTCGGGAGCACCGGGGATCGTCTTCTTGAGGCCCTGCAATGAATTCATTAGCCAAAACTACCTACCATACAGGACGGAGATTCAACACGGGGAGAGACCAACCAGCTTGTCAAAGACACACTTATTCAGCTCCATCTCGGGCTTCCGGCATTCCCACAGATGGTGGTTGTTGTTCTCAAGACACTCCCAGTGCGCGGTGAACTGTTTCAAGCAGTGGGTGTTGATATCTTTGATACTGCATGCAATTAGCAGCCGACCCTCTCTCTCTCTCACACATTACACCACCACCTCCGCCTCTTCCGGAGACCTGCAAACAGAACGCGCACAGAAGGAAGAAACATACACGGAAGCAGCACATCTCGTCACCTTCCGGCCCTCCTTCAGACACTCAAACTCCCCCCTTCCGTTGGCCTCCTGCTTGCACTTCATGTAGTCATCATTGAAGGCCTTGCACCTGTCGCCGATAAAGTACGCCGCACTGGTCAGGGGTGCCGAGGTCGCGCCGACTTCCTGGACACTGGGAATGTCCGCCGGCATGGGCGTGGTGTCCACCAGGACCTGTTGGTTGAACCTATCATGGAAACCGCATTAGCGTCTCGGTCGAATTGCACACGGAAACGACCGGTAGTGGTAGTCAATTGGGGCCGTTGTAGAAAAGAAAAAGACATACTGAGGTTCTCGGGCCGCCATTTTGTCTTGTCGTAAGCGTGAATTGGGGAATTGGGGGACCGTATAGAGAGGAGGGCCTTTGATGGACGAGTCCGGGTGATGCTGGAGTTTGGAGGTCGGTTTTTGCTTGTCTGTCATTGGTCCGCTGCGGTAAGTTATGTAATATTTCTGCCTGGGGTGTCTAATCCCGCATCCGAGGCGGTCATACTCTCATGTGCCTCAGGCAGGAGAGACATGTTGCTGCTGTAGCTGTGTCACGTGACACGGCGAAAAACAAACCAGCTCCCGAGACAAGTTGAACGAGTGAATTGAATGCAGTAGCCAGTTTCAATTGCAGTGGTTCTGCACCCCGACCCTTTTACGAAGTTGCTGCTTTGCTGCAGCGTGCGGTTCTGAGATATTGGACCGACACTGAGTTTGCATTCGCGCAGGACGGTGACAATCTGCGATTTTCTGTCGACCGACTTTCCCATTTGCAAGAGCAAGACGCTTGGTGCGGAGCTTTGGTTTTTTTTTTTTATTATTTTTTTTTTATTTTATTTACTTTTGAGTGTTAATATTGGACACGCCACTTTTCTTCGAATTATTCGCTTGACTTTTCCCCGACTCGCACTCCGCTACATACCGTAATGTCTCTCTTTGGAAATCAGACTCAGACCCAGCAGTCCGGCGGACTGTTTGGGTCTTCGACGACCGCGAATAAGTCCAGCCCCTTTGGCGGCGCTGCCACTGGTGGAGGCCTTTTTGGTTCGAATACCACCGGAACGGGAACCCAACAGAGTAGTGGCGGTCTCTTTGGACAGACACAGAACCAGGGCGCGACAGGGGGTGCTACTGGCGGTGGTGGTCTGTTCGGATCATCGACGGCGACATCGCAGCCTCAGCAGACCGGTGGTCTCTTCGGCAACACTACGACGCAGAATCAGCCGCAGACGGGCGGACTTTTCGGGAATACTGCCACGCAGCAGAAGCCCGCTGGTGGACTCTTTGGGGGATTGGGCCAGTCGACACAGCAACAGCAGCCGCAACAGCAACAGTCGGGCGGTGGATTGTTCGGGGGTGCGTTGGGTCAGCAGAAGCCCCAGGGCAGTCTGTTTGGAGGCACACTAGGACAGACGACACAGCAGCAACAAGCGCCGCAACAGGGCGGTGGTCTTTTCGGAGGAGGATTGGGTCAGACACAGCAGCAACCGCAGCAGCAGCAGAGTTTATTTGGAGGCACCCTCCTAGGTGGTCAACAGCAGCAGGGCCAGCAGCAGCAACAACAACAACAACAACAACAACAACAACAACAACAACAACAACAACAGCCTCAATTGGGCCAGTCTGTGCAACAGCCGGGGTCGAGCCTTTGGTCGCCTGGCCGCGCCGTCACTGGAGGTTAGTTTTGTCTTTATTAGATTTATTGTTGGAGATGCATTGCGCTGACTCTCGTAGTACATCGGACTGTTCCGACACAGATCGCGATCGTCAAGGATAAGTGGGACACTGCCAGCCGCAATTCTCCGTTTCGAGCATACTTGTATAACCATGTCGGCGAAGAGGCGGCACCTTTCTACCAGCCCGGTCCGGACGACGACGAGTCGAAATGGGAGGAAGCGTTGCGCAAGAGGCCCGCACCTGGCTATGTGCCTGTTATTGTGAGGGGCTTCTTCGAGCTGGGCAAGAGAGCCCAGAGACAAAAGGACTTCCTTACGATGATGCAAACCCGCCTCCACGAGATCAACAACTGTCTCACCGAATTGCTCTCCCGTCACGACCTTAAGATCTCCGTCAGGATAGCCGACTGCCGGCGGAAGCACCTTGTCCTGAGCAAGCGGTGTCTGGCGCTTGCGGCCAAGACCCAGGTCCTACGCAATCGGGGCTACGCGATGGATGACGCCGAGGAGGAGCTGAAGAAGAAACTCGCCCTGCTGGAACGCTCCGTCTTCGACCCCTCCTTGAATGGACGCGAAGAGGAGATCTGGGCCCGAATGCTGGCGATCCGGGAACACTCGAAACGCCTGCAGCTGGAGATGGAGAAGGCTGGTCCCGGTGCCGCTGCCCAGGCGGATGACGAATTGGATGAACAGACTATGAAGACTGCTAAGAAGGTAGGCGCCAATCCTCTCCAATTACTTATTCTCTGATCCCTACTAACAGCATGTAGATATTGGATGACTACCATACCCAGATCAAGCACCTGCAGAAGGAACTGGAGTCCGTGAGGAAAGACTTCGATGAGGCAGAGAAGTTCCAAGGCCGGGTAGATCACTAGCCTTGTGGTCGCTACGCTATGATTGATCTTGACACTCGGGGGGGGGGGGGGGGGGAATACATGGCTTAGGTTGAATGTCCGGGAGCAAGGAGTTATAGGAGCTGGTAATCTTGCAATTGTGATCCGATTCGGAAACCCCTTAGATAAGAAGAAAAGAAAACCCAAAAAACCGACACTTTGTCATTTCCCCATCTTCATTCTATATTTCCGCAATGATAACCCGAATGTACAATAATAATACATCTCTGCCGTTGGCTAGGCAGGAGCAAACAGACAAAGTGACGCCGTCTAATGAATCCCCGTCATAACGTAGACCGTACGAATTATGGACCGCTTAAAGGAACTTCTTGACGAAATCGATAGCGAAGGGAGCTGAATGCACTTGTTAGCTTCGTCTATTTCTCTCAAGCAACGTGAAACCACGACAGAAGACAGACGACAAAACTCACAGAGATACAGAAGGATTCCACCGGTAATGGCAGAGCGGATGGTCTGCTGAGCCTCCTCCTCACCAGCCTGTCCCATAGCATCAGTATTCACATTCAATTCATGATCATTATAAGATCGAGAAACAAAAAGATTGATTCATACTCTAATCTGCTCCTTGGAGAGCGTTTCCTGACCTAAACCACAGACACAGTATTAGCCCAACCATGCCCAGAAACTCCCAAATATAAAAACACTAGGCAATACAACATACCGGGAGCGAACATCTTGTACTTTAAAAAAAGGAAGGAGTAATTAAATTAGGGAATCGGTAAGTTGGAAGACAAATGATAACAACGGAAAGTTAGGTACGCTAAAAAGTGATGATGAATGAATATGATGAGTTAAAGAGGCTCCGATTCTGCCAACGCACGGACCATCACGCGGAGGCGGAATTTCTGCGGTCAACTCTTTACTTAACCTGTTAGTCCCCGTCGTCACTACGGTTTCTTGTCTTGAGCGCGAGTTTGGGTTTTTACTTTTTACTTCTTCTTTTTCTTTCCATCTTGCTTCTCTTTTACTTTCCTCTTGATTAGAATTCTTCGTATTGACGGTATTGACCGAAAGATATTGAAAGAGGAAGGAAAGAAAGAAAGTAATCAATCGGTATTTCAAGAAGATATCAATCTATCTTGTTTCTTCCCGTCGCAATAGCAACGGAAGCGAGCGCCTTGCGCTATCGACCTATCCCACTTTCTACAAAACATACACACGCCCACTACACACCCACACAAAAACTGAGCCAACATGTCCGCCAGTCCTGAGATTAAGCCGGTCGAGGAAGACCCTGTTCGAGCGCCTACACCCGGCGCCGGTGATGACGAACCCCAGGGCGTTGAGGAAACACCCGCTGCCGATGTGGATGCCGACGAGGACGCAGAAGAAGAGAAGGATAACGGGTCCGATGACGAGTCGATTCTGTCGGAGGTAGACGAGGCGCAGTTCGAGGACTTTGATCCTGAGAATGTCGACGTCGAGGACCGGCCGCAATTGGCGATTGACGAGGATAACCTGAAGCTGATTGGACGGCATAAACGGAAGAGGACTGAGGATGGGGAGAGGTCGACACGCAAGAGGGAGGGGCGCAGGGAGAAGAAGAGTCGGCGGATGAGGGATTTGGAGGAGGCTGGTGATGATGATGGTGAGGGCAAGGCGAAGAAGAGGGAGAGGAAGAGGAGGGAGCCGATCCCTGAGGATGATGAGACGTTGGATCCTGCTACTCGTATGTTTTCTTCTTTTACGTTTTGTGGGTTGGGGATGAGGATGTTGGGTGCTAACTGGAGTAGGTCGTCGTCGGGCTTTGGATCGTGCTATGGATGAGGCGCTTAAGAAGCCTACTAAGAGGCGTTTTCGCAAGGCGGATGGTATTGTATGTTTTGTGTTTGATGTTCTTTCGGGGTCTACTACGTGACTGGGTGCTAATTGATATTGCTAGGATCTGGAACAAATGGCCGATGCCGAGATTGAGGATATGCGGAAGCGCATGACCCATGCTGCTCAGATGGATGCTATCAGTCGTCGGGAGGGCAAGCCCGCTATGCATAAGTTGAAGATGCTGCCCGAGGTGGTCTCTCTACTTAATCGCAACCAGTATGTCAACAGTTTGGTTGACCCTGAAATCAACCTGCTTGAGGCGGTTAAGTTCTTCCTGGAGCCTTTGGATGATGGCTCGCTGCCGGCCTACAATATCCAGCGTGATTTGATGACCTCGCTGGCTAAGCTTCCGATCAACAAGGAGGCGCTGGTTGCGAGTGGAATCGGCAAGGTGATTGTGTTCTACACACGGAGCAAACGTCCCGAAGCCGGCATCAAGCGTATGGCTGAGCGTCTGCTGGCTGAATGGACGCGCCCTATCCTCCAGCGCAGCGATGATTACTCCAAGCGAGTCTACCAGGAAGCGGAATTCGATCCTCGGTATGTCTCCCAACATCCCCCAAATTTGGTTGACTTGGAACCAGAAACTAACTCTAGGTTGTATAGAAAAGTCCAACGTACTACGCAATCGGCTCAGGCCACTGCGGCAGAAGCACGCGCTCGCGAACTGCTTCCCCCTCGTCTGGCGAACCGTGCCCGCGCCGAGATCACACATACCAGCTATACTGTCGTTCCTCGTCCGACGATGGTGCAGGAGAGCAAGTTCGCGCGGCCACTGGGTGCCAGTGGAGAGGATCGATTCCGAAAGATGCGTGCACGACAGATTGCGGCGTCGAAGGGATCGCGTCGATAGGGTTGTTTATTATTTTTCGTCGATATTCTTGTTGCCACATGGTTGCTCCTCTTTTCTCTGTGTTACTTTTCTTCTTTTTTTTTTTTTTTTTTTTCCCCCTTCTCGTCTTGCCGATCACATTTTCTTATGTTTTTTATCCGATTGTATCGCAAAGTGTTACCTACGGTTCGGGTGCCGGCGTCATGGGATTGATAAAGTCATAGTCCATAACTAGTTAGTCTAGAACACACACACACACACACACACACACACACACACACACACACACACAATACTTACATAAAATGAAGGAGAATAATTCCCGGAAGACCATACCGAAGTCGGTAGGGGTAGCCTGCCAATCATGCCATCCGGAAAGCCACAAAATTACCCGCAACGGCTGACTCAGACTCTTCTCGCGCGAGAAGTCTGGCGTCATGTGCACGTAAAGAGTTTAGTCCGCTGCACCAGCCATGCCTTCCGAGCTTTGCCCGGCAGACCCCGAACACCTAAATTGCTGTTCCATCGGTACGTCACGGCCTTTGCTCAATCGCCGACTCTGTTCGTTTTCGTGCGCTTCTCTATTTAAATCCTCGCCGCCGTTGCGCCATAGCTTCTCCTCTTCAATTTCCATTCCGATTTTCTAGATCGTCTTCTATTTTCTTCGATTGAAGATATATCAAAGATACATATATACATATATAATTGTTGATATTAATACATCTCCCACAAACACAACAAAATGAAGCTCCTCACCAAGGAAGAAGAAGATGCTCACTACAGGTAAGCTCACACCACCCACCACCCCATACAACCCACCCCCAACTCTCCCCCACCCAATTAACCCAATCAACCCAATCCCCAAAACAACCAACTAACCAAAATGAAAAAAACAACAGAGCAGTCCTAAAAGGCGGTTCAATCGGTACCGTCCTCGGTTTAATAGGTGGTTACGCCGGAGTCATGGCTGCGTCCCGCCGCTACCACACAATCCGGAACCTCACACTCCCCATGAAAGCCTTCCTGGTGACCTCCTCCGGAACCTTCGTGGGCATCATCGCGGCCGACAACTCCTCCCGGAACTTCGAAACCGAGCGCAACGCCGACCAGCAATGGTACCAGAACCGCGAGCAGCGATTGCGGGAGGAGTCGCTGCAGGGGATGAGTTTCATGGAGCGGTCGTTGGCGTGGGCCCGGAAGGAGAAATATACGATTGTGACGGCGACGTGGGTGGCGTCGATGATTGGGAGTTTTGTCCTTGTGGGACGTAACCCGTATCTGAGTGGACAGCAGAAGATTGTCCAGGCGCGTGTGTATGCGCAGGGATTGACGCTGGCGGTGTTGGTTGCTTCTGCCGCGTTTGAGATCAGCGATCAGAAGAAGGGGAAGGGGATTTTGAAGAAGAAGTTGGAGGAGCAGGAGGCTGCGGGTAAGGGTCGGGTTGTTGAGGAGGAGCCTGTGAGGCAGCATCAGCAGCAGAATGAGGGCGAGGGCGATTTGTGGAAGGATATGGTTGCTGCTGAGGAGGAGAGGTTGAAGAAGAAGCATCAGAGTGTTTGGGAACATCCGGAGTTGCATAAGGAGGGTCAGCAGCAGCAGCAGCAGCAGCAGCAGCAGGCTAAGGAGGTTAAGGAGGAGAAGAAGGAGCAGCAGTGATTCTTCTTTTATTCCGCTCTTGGCTTTGTGTCTTTGGTTGAAGCGTTTGGGGGATCTTCATTGCTTTGCGGGGACTGAAAAGTTCTTTTGTTTTGGGTTTATAGATTCTTTTGGTGATTCTCTTTTTCGTCTGGGTGGCGCAGGGCGTTGATTGTTAATTGTTTCTCTGCCGGGTGGCTCACATGGTGCTGCAGCGGCTGTGTGTACACTGGTTGTACTGTATTCTATGAATCTCCTCTACAATTGATGCCTCGTCATGTCTTGTTTACTATGTGAGCTCCTGGAATGTTAAATAACCCTCTTGTTTTCTTCAACCTGTCATGTGCATACCGGTGCACTGCCATCTTCCGTTGACAAACATCATATGGTTTCTCATGTTCGCAGTGCATATTGAGTACATCCCCATGAACCCCCTACCTGGACGCCATACTCCGTAGGCAAAGATCTTGCTATTGCTAGACATCGGTCTTCTCATTTTGAGCGCGTGGCCCACGACCCAAATACGAAGACGCCTCGAGTCTGTTGAGCTCGTCCTCTTCCTTATCCAGCTTGCGATGCGTGATCCAAAATAGATTCCCCCCGATAAACGAAAGAACAGCGACGAAACCATAGTTCCAAACAAGAAGAGGGTCAGTAGATAGAGGAATTAGGCCTTGTTGAACCGCAGACGAAATAGCATTCATGAAGAGGTAAATAGATTGTACTATCGGTCATATCTAGATTAGTAGATGCAGTAAACAATTGAATAAGTGGCAGATACTATAGAACATACCTAAGCTCTTCATATTCTTCGGCGCCTTGGTGAATGCATACTCGTATCCAGTAATCAAGGTGAAGATCTCTGAAAAAGCGATCAATATGTACGGCACAGCTTGCACCCAGACATTAATAGGCGCAGGGGTCTTGCAGCTCTTCTCGCTCGGATACTTGCCACATTTGCCCGTTTTATAGATGTAGTGCTGTATCATGGTGGCAGATACCATGGATATCGCGGCGAGCATGTAGCCCGCGTACATTCGCTTCAGGGGGGTAAAGCGGACGCCCAGTCGCTGGATTCCAGGATAAATAAACTGGTCCATGAGAGGTATGAAGGTGATTAGAGACAGCGGATTTAGGTTCATGATGATATCATTTGGGACGCCGTTAAGCTCCATGGTGGCTGCTTGGGAGGTGAGGTTGTTGGTCATTTGTCCGTAGGCCAGCCCTAAGCTTGGTTAGACAGATATATTTGGGAACCTTGACCCGAATACTTACAGTAGAGGGGGTACCAGAGGAAGACGGCGCATGCCTTGATGGCTCTGCGTACCTCGTCCACCCATTTGTCGTCAAATGTCATCCATTCCGGCTTCCTCTGGACTTTGCTGGGCTTTACGTTCTCCCAGAAATCACTTGCTCGGCAGTTCTGGACACTGTTTGCAAAGTATCAGCTAAGATGGCTAGTGGGAAGTGAAGAGTTTGGACTAACAATCGGATGGGATTCCAAGACCACCTCCCCTTGAGCGCGAATACCCAGAGCTTGAACGCCTTTCCTACCACTGACCCAGTTGGGGGAGTAACCTCATAATTCTTGCGGCAGACATAAAGCACGAGGGGGCAGATGGCGAACATGATGGTGGGAAGGACGAATGAGAGCCAGAACCCAACATATTTCTCTGCGTACACCATGACAATCTGCCCAAGCAACGAGCCAACGTTGATCATGAAGTAGAAATACAGGAAGATCCGAGTAATTGTCTGAGCCGGGTCCACGATGACACGCTCTCTGGTCTTTGGCAGTGTCTTGATATAGTGTCGGGTTTCTTTGTGCTGTTCTGCGATTAGAGGAGCAATGTTGGACCTATTATTTTGGTTAATAAAGGAACTAACAGTCGGAAGAGAAGCAACTATACTTGAAACCTCCTACACCGATTCCGAAGAGTACCAGACCGACTATGAAGCAACCTAACGCACCACTGGGATGCGCAATCACCCGGGGAAGAGATGCAATGATCAACACAATATGTCCAACCATGGCAAACGCGATGGCAACTTGGATGGTTTTCAGGCGGCCCCAGAACTCATCAGCCACCCATGCACCAACAATAGGCGTCACGTAACACCAGAAAGCATTGACTTCGAATGTCAGAGCATTTCTTGCGCATTCAAGGGGCTTGGTGATTGGGAAGCTTACGAGTAGTTAGGCCTGTGGAAACTCTCTGGCCCATTCCTAGAGCTCCTGACTGTCCTGCATGGCCGGCACCAGTGCTCGAGTTTTGCGGAAGAGGCTGTTGGATAAAGTTGACAACTGGGGAGTGTCATTCTCATATCTCGTGCGAATGAATAGATTACATACAGACAGCAGTGGTTCCATAATAGGAGAACCGTTCGCACAGCTCAACAAAGGCGATGGTATATGCAGTCCATCGAACGCTTCCTGCGACGCGACGAAGAGACTCCAGTTCTTGTCCAGTGGGGGTTGCGCAGCCATCGTCATCCTGAGAGGGAGCTGCCGATATCACCATAGTCTCTTGCTCTAGGAGACGAGCTTTAAGTGTCTCGTGTGCCCGCGCACCAGGATTTCCGCAGCTAGTGGGGCCACTCATGGTTGCGACAGGATCTGGCACGGATAGACATTACTGGTGAGAAGATGGGAATGCTTCAAAAGGTATATGACATGGGATGATAAAGATCTTACCAAGCGAGAGACTCAGAAGCGACTCTAGAACCAAAACAAGAAAAAGAGGCCCAAGAGTCAGAGAGGGGAAGCTTTGGGGCGAACGAGGGATAAAACACAAGAGAACAAAAGAAGATAAAGAGAGAAGATAGAGGAATGGGTCGAGTGCCTGGGGGAGATGGCAGCCAATCTCGTGCTTGTCCGGATTAAACTTTTATATATAGAAATTCACTCTCACCAGACGAGCATCTTGCATTTGATTGGAGAAAGATATTTTAATTCCAGGGCTCGGCCAGTGTCTTTCTACCAATAGCCTTGGATGGGACAGAATCCATACTATTGCCTGCTACCACTTTTGTGTCATACCTATAGGACGTAGTTATTCATCCGATATGGTGTTGTGGCTATTGAGAATAGATACCAGGACTACCCGTGACCTGATAGTTGGTTGCATTCTTTTTGTAAGGTAAGCAACTTTGGTGAATGGGAGTCCAGACACAGCTACGCGCTGATACTCTGGTTAATAATGAATTATGCTCAGTCCAAAGTTTCTCTGCACACTTAGCGATGTTTGTGGCCGAGTAACGATACAAGTGGACAGGTTTCTCAGAATATCAGGTCTACTTTAGGAATATCCATATTTTCAGAGTGAACAAAAGCCTTTTGAAAGCCTTGTAAAGTTCTTGTTTAGTCATCTTGTGTCGATCGAGAAAAGCGGTCAATCATAGGGCGGGATATTAATTCGAGGCTATATGAGTGAATGCTCCTACTAGTGCTCATCCTGACTCGTGGACTGATCACCTGCGTGGGATTAGCCAAATCCATCCTGAACTCTCGTGCAAAAGATGGTTCTAGATATATATTGAGACATTTCCAAGAGACAGCACACAGGTTTTCCATTACAACAGAGAATATGTCACGCACACTGAGTTTGTTACATAGGATGATACAATAAGCTTAGTACCCATTAGACTTGAAGTACCTTGTTGGCAATTATCTGCCGAGCTACCAATACGTTCAGGAGGAAGTCTTACTATACGCTTTGAAATCACTGTAATTATTTGGAATGGCATAGAGAGACAACGGTTTAGGGAGGAGGAGGCACAAGGGACAATCGAGGGAGCCAATTGAAACTCCACCATACATACTACGGTTGCACTTGAGCACAGTTTATAGGTCATTATATCAGAAAACAGGAACAAACATCAAAAAGGGCAGGGCCAGCCAAGATTACCTATAAGGGGTTAGCGTATTGACGAAATTGTCCGATTGGATGGTTAATCATTAGGGGTATTTAGTACGATGGATGGCCTAAGGTACGTATGATGTATCAACAGTATACCACGGAAGAAATGTAAACAAAGGAAACCTAGCGGAGCTAAGAAAATATGTCTGGCAACAGGGTTGCTGTCACTGATGCCCTCGATTATTTCGGAGGTATTCTACTCATGGCTTTCCTTGTATTATTTTTGTCCTCTCGCTCTTCTTTCCATATATATCTGTGTTGTAGCGCGCTACACGCCAATACTATGCTTAAAGCCAGGCTTAACAGGAACTGACTCTTTATATGGTCTAATATTTTAACGTGTAATATCGAGGTTACTAGGAGATTTTTCAAATTGATATTGAACATGACTACACGTCTCTTGTTTAGTAAACTTCCCAGATGAAGAGATATAACATAGTATCTTGGCTTCACGACGTTCTTTGAAATTTCCAGGTGCCCTATATACTGGTTAGCCTGAGTAAGCATGACCCTATAGTTCATATAAAAATAGAGAAAACAAAAGCCTTGAGCAGCATGCTGGTCATATCAGTCATCATTCGTTCAGTGAGCTAACTATTTACATTCATCTCACGCAGTAACTCTCATTCGTGTAGGCAAATGATAGGAAAGTTACAGACGGAGCTAACCAACGTACTTATATAGTAGTAGATACGAGAAATCATCAGGAAATCCAGGTCGTCACGGTTAATGAGTCCCGCCAGGTTGGGCAGGTGTAGGCGTTGAGCCAATAGCCGGTGGTGTAGCCGCCTTGCACGCACGGTTCTTCGGACTCCTTAAGGGAGTAGCACCCATATATTAAGGAGGAAGTTCCACAGAGTTATTCTTGTTTCCAATTCCCGTTGTCATAAAGTCATTGATCAAACATTCGCAGAGAAAACCGTGTCGGATATAATAACTGCAACAGCCGCAATCTGGAAACACAGTCAGCTGATTTGCCAACGCTAATTTTGCGCAAGTTACATACTAGTGATTGATCGACGTGCGCAGTTATAATGATATCCAGGACTGGTCGGTAGCCATGCTTAGAACTAGGAAAGCGCTTCATCAAGGCAAGCTTCTCGTTGTGCTGTATACTCTCGCGCACTTCTGCTACCTTCCTATCACCATCCACAATATCATATAATGCTAAAACATTCCCACGGCTCTGGACCTCTAGGGAGAGTTCCTTATCCTCCTTACGCTTGGATTCGAAGGCCGCTGCGTTATCGAATGTGATGGTGAAATTCCCCCAACCAGACATACCAGACGTTCGCCGCGGACTAACGGTGGCTATCTTCGCACTACTACTCCCCGGCAGCGAGATCGACCAGGAGTTCCTAAACGACTTTCGGTAGATCTCGAATAAAGGGAGCCCCGAGGCATCTCTGAATTCCCGGCAAGGGCGATCGTTGAATTTCCGACCGGAGGCTGTGAATAGGACTATACCGTCATCGTCTTGGATACTATAACCAATGGCAGACTTCGGGTCCCCCTGGGGTCGAAAGGTGAGGAGGGATTTAGCTTCGGTGATATATTCTCTTCGAAGAGCGATCGGGCGCTCGGGAGCTTTCAGAACTCTGCGAATCCGGTGAGAGCACCCGGTAGCCAACGGAGCTTGCAGGGGTGGTAGTACGTAGGTGGTGGACATTGTGCTGCTGGCGGTTGGAGGGGGGAATTGGACTGCCCTGCGTTATGAGGTGCTGCGATTGCGGGGAAGGCAGCTTTGTTTATAATCAAGCGGAGAGTTCCAGGTTGGATGTGATAAGCCCATTAAGTCACTCGCGCGCACAGCCCGGCGCCTCCCGATGACTTCATAGGTGGTAGAAAGAGATTCCCCATCAGGCTTGGAAGGGGTCCACCAATCAGAGCATCCATGGTCTGACCTACTTTCCAGGTACTAAGAATACCGGCCCAGACAAGTGGTCTGGAATGCGATACATAATTTGCCAAGATCTTTCGGTTGTGATATGGCCTCCTGCTAAGGATGATAGATTCGGGAGTTACGCCTCAATTTGACACAGTGCAGAATAATTGCAGAATACTTGCAGCATAAGCTTACACAGGTTCCAATCAGGCTACTTGAGTCATAAGCGCTGTGTCACTTTGACCTATCAGTATATATAGATGTGATGGCGGTGTCATTTAGAAAAGCTGTGCAAACCATACATACTCGCAGCCTCCCCATGCCCAGCCCAGCCACAAAACCCCGTGACCGATCCATTGCCCTGACCCACTCGGGACTAGTGCCAAACCCAAACCAGGGCACGAACTGGGCTGCCAACGTGTGTTTCCGGGTTAGCGGGTGGTTCTGCCTTCCTTTTGTCGATCTTGGGCCCTTTTCTTTGCACTTCTGGCAAAATTTTCTTTGAATGCTTATGTCCCAGAAAACCCATTATGATGATAAACATGGATTTATACAATACAGGAGAAAGCCAGAAATAGAAGCGGAGACGCTGAAGGAAGCCAAGACGCTTGCAACAATGCTAACGCGAAAACAGCTGGAATGTCTCAAATTTCAACCCATCGTTTGACCCTTTGACTTGTTCCCAAATTCCCCTCGACGGAGATCCGAGTGGGGGCGACTGTCTCTCTTTTTTTTTTTTTTTTTTTTTAAGCCTTTTTTTAATCTATTTTTCTTCTAGCTCTTTCATGTTAACTAACCACTCATCTTTATGTCATAACGATTGGCTGTGTTTTCTCACTACCTTAAGGCATCCAACCCTTCACTGCCTGCGTAGTCAGCTGTTCGCTAGTGCTAGTGCTAGTAGCAGTCAGTCCTACTACTACTTGAGTAGGTATCAACGCCTAGTTTCTGCTGCCTGACTTATCCCTACTTCCACTTCATGTCAATTCATCCCTGAAGTCCGTCGGTATGAAAATATGGCGGCAATGTGTGTCTCGCCCCATGCGGGTACTCCTATACCTTGTAGCACTCGTGCTCCTGCTGTGCATAGTTCTCCCCTACGACCACCCTATCCGACTATCGGCTCGCTTCAATGTTAAAGCTTTTGGTGCCGCCTTCACTTCTTACCTGGGGGGCCGCTGGTGGTTCTCGGAACGGTCTACTTTTCCGGTGGTGCTATCGGACGATGTTGCTGTGTTGATGAAATCTGGATTTGGAACAAAGGATCGCATCGCTGCTTGGTTAGAAGCTCACGAGCAGGATAGATTCAACAACCTCCTTCTTGTTGGTGATTTTGCCACGCCTTCAGGACAGCTTTTTAGCTACAATGGTCGGCGCCTACCAGTTTTTGACCTCGTAGCTTGGATGTTAGAAAAAGGATACTTGTCTGCAGAACTGGCGCATCCACGACTGATGAAACATTCTAACTTAAGCGCTGCTATCTCCAACGGGGACACGGAAATAGCAAAGGAACTATCGAAGTCATTCGGGTGGGAGCTGGACGCTCTAAAGGTACCTAGCCCCGATTGTTGAGGAAACTTTCGTTCCGTGTTGCTGTGGCTTGCATCGATATGATACCCCGTTATTTGATCTGAGAGGCTGACATGCAATAGTTTATCTCTGGCCTCGAATTATGCTATAACCAGATGCCAGATAAAAAGTGGTACATTATGGCAGACGACGATACGTATCTCATGCAGCCCGCTCTCAAGCTGCTACTAGAACATCTTGATTCTGAAGTACCCTTTTATGTTGGCAACGCGGTAGGTGACTACAAAGGTCGCTTTGCACATGGGGGATCCTCCGTGGTCCTATCCCAAGCCACAATGCGTTTGCTTTTCTCGCGCCACGACGTAGTTACCTCGGCCCATCTGGAATCCCTCGAAGAAACTTGGGGCGATAAACTCCTTGCGACAACTTTGCTCAAATTAGGTATCTATCTCGACGAACGATACGTTGTCTTTTTCAATGGGGGTCCACCTCGAGCCATAAGAGTTACCGAGGACCGTTTGTGCGCGCCGATCATCTCTTTCCACAGCTTAACCCCGTCAGAAATGATCAATGTCGGTCGGAGGTTCCAGCATACAGATGAAGTTCTTCTTTGGATCGACTTGTGGGATATCTACGGTGCCCCTTCTCTCGACTCGCCGATCCTCGAGTCAGGCCGGAAGAACTGGGACCACGTTGGAGGCTTGGATGAGTCAACCATGACTGTCAATGACGTCCCAACAGCACAGAAGTGTATTCAGATTTGCCATAACTACGCAAAGTCGTGTCTGGCTTGGACTTGGGAGTCCGAGAAACAGCTCTGCCATATCAGCAACTGGATGGTACCAGGAGAACAGGCTGAAGGCAAAACCTCGGGAATCAATGTACCACGCGCGAAAAGTCTGGTTAACATGTGTCGACCGTGATCGTGATAGACTCGGCTGTCCATCCATGAACTCTCAAAATCGCCCATGATCAGAATGCAAGGCTTCCTCAATAACAAATGCTGGAATGGTTATTATTAGGTCACAGAAAACCCCATGGCAGTCGATGGGATGTTATACTCGACTGCACTGAATCTATCAAGCTGTCAGAGGCTGTTTCAGTGGGCGGTGACCAGGTCAGGACAATCGACATAAGCGTATAGCGACTGTCTTACTGCATGAGGCATAACATAAGTCGACCTATTCATACGATCTGGTCAACCCGTCTCCGTACAATTTGGCAACAAGCGTGAATAGAGGAGTGACTTCGCCCTAGGGCTTATCGGTTGCACCCCGGCGACCTTTCTTTCTTTCTTTCTTTCTTTCTTTCTTTCTTTCTTTTTTTTTTTTTTTTCCTTCTTAGACGACGTGGTTACGGATGGATCATTCTTTGTGTACATTACGCTCATTCATTGCTGTATATACTTCAGATACTTCTTGCTTTGCTTCAGAGTCTAGACTCAGGCTGATTAGACTATTGAACATCCATAGAGTCTCAGCGTAGCTTACACCACCTTCTCGTCATAATGCCAAAAATCATAATGGTTTAGAAGTTACTTTGCAGACGTCTTGCGAACACCATGCCCGACAACTTATCTCCTTGCACGACTACTGACAATCGTTCATACCGAGGGCCACGTACGAAATGGTCGTAACCAGCCGGGCTTTCCACATTTAATTGGTTATGATAGAAGACTGCACCACATTCGGGTCCCTTGGCACATACACTAAGCTGTCGATCACCCCCAACGGACCCTGATGGAATCGTGATCAACTTGTCCGGGCACGGGCACTGAACTCAGAGTCGCGTCATTGTTCTCATCGCCTACAGGAAAATAAAAGTCCAGGTTTCTCGGCAAGTGATGAAGCGTGTCCCTGTTTGTCCATTAATTACATAGACCTTCCCAAGCCCTTGGCGATTTGGCACGCTAACATCAATAACCGAGAATCCGATTCCGATTGATATGAACAGTGGTTGTCTGAATGATTATGACCTGCAATATTTGAGGCTGGCGGACCACTAAGTTACAGAGTTTGGTGGTGGAACGAAATAAAAGGTGGTATTTCACCTCATGGCAGTACCCACTTCTCCAAAGATTTTTTGTACCCTGACCCACTCATGATGTCGAGCATCGATCAAATGCTTTTTCGGGTAATTCGTGCTCTCCACAGAGACGATCTTGTCCTAACACGTTATGGCTCTCCCTTCAGGGGGCCCACTTCCGCGTTGTAGTATAGGGCCACCATCGAGTAAGCAGTATCTATGCACTTGGGGGTAAATGGTGCAGTTATATTTTGGGTTATATTGTGGACTGTTTTACTGGGATACCCTTTGTATCGCATAGTTGGCTTTGTTGTCGCTAAGTGTGTATCGGAGAGGGAAGGTGGCTGAAAGCAGTGGTATAATATATTCTGAATTAGTACTTGGAAATGATTAACTTCTATATTCTCCAACTTGATGATCGAGAAGCGTTGTTATATTCAGTGGTTGTCTCACTTTCTTTTCCTTGGTTTGCCTTTCCGTCTTGCCGAATATATTCGAGGCAGGGGCTCCCTAAGGATACCAAGTGGTATTAGTACAAGTCGACCTGAAAAAAAAAAAAAAAATTCCCGGCCTTGGTTCTTCCCAAGGTGCTTTTATTGTACTGAAATTACTGCGACACCAGCCAGTGACTGAATCAAAAATGCACCATTTAATTTGCTAAAGGGAAAGCACTGATAGCATGGAACAACTGAAAGACGCCCTCTTTTCAAGGAATAAGACTATGTAGGTCAAGACCTTCAATCGTATCATTCAGCATCCCAAAGAGGTTTTTAAAGGACGAGTCAAAACAGCTGTGTTGGGAATGATAAGGATATGACAAGGTCCGACTATCCCACCGTGGTATCTTGAATGACTGTACCTTCCGTACCAAGTCTTTATAGTTCAAACCTGGAAATGGAGCTTCAGGTCTCGGCAAAAATAGCTCAGCTGACCGCATCTCTTTTGTAAGGGCTCCATACATGATTGAGCTGCACTCAAAGCCACACCCTCGAGTACCGCTTAGGAGTGCCTCTCGTCTGTCATGAAGGAGTGTGACCAGATTAGTAATAGCATCCTCTCTGGATATATTCATTGCTTCTGTAATCAAGTTAGAGACAAAGCACCTTAAAAATCTGCCTACCCTTACCCATGACTTCAGCAGGGATTGGAAACCCAGGACTGTTAATCCATCCGTCACTCCAAGACATAACAGTCGACGTTGATTCTTTGAACTGGTCTGGCAGTTGGAAAGCCCAAGAAACCCATAGCCACTGAGGTAGATCCTCGGAATATGTTTTGGGAATCTTTTCCTCCAGAGCGTTGATCCATATAGTCGACCAAATATACACAGCCTCCTTGCAGTCATAGTAGTCAGCTATGACAGCGACCTTAGCAAGCATTTCGAGAGTTAGCTTTCGTGGGACTTGGTAATGTTGACAATGAATAGCACGAAGGAGAATCAAGAGTGCTTCAAGATCCCAGCTTTCTGCAGTAATCTCGACTGTGCCTTTTTGCAGATACGTAATACTCTCCTTCCAGCCACCGGTAAGTATTTTCTTGAAAATGGGGGACGCAAGAATCAGATGCTTTGCGGAGACTTGGATGCTGAAATAATTCTCAACCAGGGGGTCTGGGACAGCAGACTCTTGGACAGGCTCTTGGATTGGCTCTTGGACAGGCTCTTGGGTTGGCTCTTCGATGGGATCTTGGACTAGCTCTTCGATGGAATCTTGGACTAGCTCTTCGACAGTTGGCTCCTCGACAGGCTCTTGAATACCAGGCTCTTCTGTTGACGGTTGGGTGGGTTCAAGAGGATTTTGAACAGGTACCAATGAAGAGTCAGGTCTTTTTTTCTTGCTCTTCTTGCTCTTTTTGCTCTTTTAAGCCTTCTTACTGAGAGAAGTCGTTGACTCTCTGCGCAATAATATGATCACTTCGCCATCTGGATCGATAATGTGACTTGGCTGGTCCATTATTGTTGCCCGGTGCACGTTGTCAACACTGGAAGATGGCTAACTTGCTCGATAAGAGTAAGGAAGAGGATGGAAGGAGGGGCTACGATAATATACATATACTAGGCGTCATCTTCCATTTTCATTGGATTTTTTTGTTGTTGTTTTGTATTTACTGGTGAAGGTGTGGCGGCCTCTGATTGGCGTCTGTGTTGACAGCGCTTGCATACAGTACGTGGCCATCCATAAGGTATGTCAGGATTTCTCACAGACTAGTTGAACGAGCAGACTCGTATTCTTCCGACCACTTTTGGATCTCTCCAATGAAACGATGGGTCATGTCAACTATCCTCTCCTAATTGATAAAGGATTCCGGGTCTTGGTCCTTGTATATCTGTCTGAGATCCATCCAATTTGCTAACACGATATCTTATGCCTCCTTGATGTTGTCAATATATATCTGCGTGCACACTTGTAATAGCTTCCAGTCGCTATACTCCATCCCTACTTTAACCAACGGAAGATCTAGGACCAGAATTCCATCAATAAGCTCTGTTGAATATGTCCGGCCTTATTGTGAATTGAGGCTCAATCAATAGACTAGAAAGCTTTGGACTTATTATCTACTTTCCTATATATAAATATGCTATTATTGGTTATCCTGTTATATAATGTATTAGTTTTTCTTTTTTTCTCAATATTTATAGAGTTATCATTCATTTTTAAAACACTTCTACTATACTTATAAAAAGCTCCAACCACTTCCTCCCACCGTCCCTCCCAACACCCACCCAAAAAAGTCTTTGATTAAACATTCTATAATTTCCAAAGGCCTCTATGTCACGGGCATCTAACACTAGAACAGTTTCCATAGATGTGGCATTGTGCTCGACCCAAATGGAGTCTCTTCCGTATCTTCATATACTTTACCATATACTATAGTAGACAGCCGACCCACTTGAATTGCGTGATTCGACTAACCTCAGATTTATAATCTACTATGCACTATTATATATGGTACCATAGTACATACATGAATAACTCTCGGTAGATGTATAATGTATTCCGTATCGCGGGATCTGTGTATCCGGCATCCGAACGATCCTTCCGTTCGGATCAAGTCTCAAACTACACCCGGAATATATCAAAGCTTCATCCGCTTATTGGATTTGTTATCTGCTTACCAAAACAGATACGGAGTATTCAACTGAAAAAAAAAAAAAAAAAAAAAAGCATCTCAATATCCAAATAGTGATGATAAAAGGGGACATAAATCCAGTCGTCATGGGGGTCATAACATACAAATTCAGCTTATCGAAATATTCAAGCTCAACATAGCACCCCGGATTATAATTCGTTCAATACAATGTCCCAACGTGTGCTTCTCCTCGGTGCCACTGGCCAGACAGGCAATTCCATCCTGAATGGACTCCTTGAGCACGGCGGATATGTATGTAAACGATATCAGTCCAGTTGGTCCGTGTCTATTGCTACCACTAACAGCGTTTCGCTTTTCAGGAAGTCGCTGCGTTGGTTCGTCCTTCGTCAGCTGAAACTCCAAAGGTGAAGGCCGTGGCCGAACGAGATGTGAAGATCATCGCCGCCGATATCACCGGCCTGGTGGATGAATTAGCCAGCATCCTCCGTGACTTTGATGTTGTGATTAGTGCCATCGATGCCTTGAGCATGCATGCTCAGGAGAATCTGGTCACCGCTGCGAAGCAGGCTGGCGTGAAGCGGTTTGTACCATGCGCATTCATCACTGTCTGTCCACCAGGTGGCGTGTTTCGTCTGAGAGATGAGGTATTTCTATCCAATTAGCGCATGTTGAGCCGTGGAATTGTCCGTCAGCAACGGAAAAAATGGCATTTTCTAGGTCACTCAACAACTTGAACTGCAGGAAATTCGCTAACACCTATACCACAGAAAGAAGCAATATACCAACATATTCGCAAGCTTCACCTCCCATACACTATTATCGACGTCGGATTTTGGCACCAGATCTCTTTCCCAACTGTTCCATCTGGCCGCGTAGATTACGCCTCCATGTATTCACCCAACACAACCATCCACGCAGGCGGCAATGCGCCGAACATCCTCACCGACCTCCGTGACATAGGTTCCTTCGTTGCGCGCATCATCGCCGACCCCCGCACCCTCAATCAGTCAGTCTACACATGGTCTGACGTGTTGACTCAGAACGAAATTTTCGACATGATGGAGGAGGTGAGCGGTGAAAAGATAGACCGCTCCTACATGTCCGCAGAGACAATTGAGACGGCCATTGCGACCTTCAAAGAGACTCTCGAGAAGGAACCAGACAATATACCCACCCGTCTTGCGCTGACCATGTTTCAGTATTTCTTCAGTAAAGCTATCCGGGGTGATAACAGACCGGAGTATGCGAAGTACCTGGGTTACTTGGATGCCAGAGAGTTGTATCCGGATTTTGAACCGAGGAGCTTTAGGAGCTATTTGAAGGAGGTCCTTGATGGTAACGCAGAGAAGGTGTATAAGGATAATGAAGGTATTGAGCAGTTGAAGAAATGGTTTTTTGAGTCGGGGTTGCCGCTCTAGGTTCCAGTTAGGTTCCTGCTTGGGGGAGGTGCTTTGAAGGATGGGACTCACGTATCGATTGTGTGGCTTTATAAATATCATATTATGATAGCAGATAGTACTGCCAAGTGGGTAAATGGATTCTATAAGATTAAGGGATGTTGGTACTCCAGTTTTATACTTATTATTCTTATCTAAGGGCATGGTCTCCTGCTTCTAAAGTTGACTATGATCGAAAATAGCCCCTCAACTATTGGTTATCTGGTCCCTTCGCGATATGGGGCATTTCATTTAGAGAAGGGAGAGATCTTGTCACTCTTTCTCTCGATACTTTTACAAGATCACTAGGCCTTTCAAAAAAAACACAATAATGTTGACCCCCTTGGCCGTACGACTATGGCTGTTTAAAATGGCTTGCCCGCGGTAGGTTCTGGGGCTGGCTTGGTGGCTTGGTTTAGATTGGGCCACTCATGTGTTATACAATTTGCGACATAGCTTTTTCTACTAGAGATAGATTGCCTTGCCTTAATGTATAGATTGAATACTAATAGGATACCACACACCCTTTTTATATGGTTACAAAGAAAACAGACCTGTGTAATACCGTTCCCCCTCCCCCCTTCACTTCATCAAACAAATCAAAATCCATCTTTGATCAAAACATTCCGTAATTCCCAAATGCCTCTACGTCACGAGCATCTACAGACGAGCGGTTTCCGTAGGTGTGATATTTGATCGGGTACTCATTCGAGACAATGTATCCCCTGGAGCATTCGTTGAATTTCACCCGGTTCTGTTTGTTGTAGAAATCGTCGTATTTAGGGTCCAACGCATCGACGAGAGTCTTCACCTTTCCGTCTGGATGCAACGCTTCCCAAGGACGCTGGCAGGTCTTGGCTTTGCATGTCTTCAGGACTAGTGTTAGCGCATCCAGACGATGCTCAAGCTTCTTCATCGATACACCGAGGATCTTCTCCGTAGAGTTGTACAAGTTGTTCATTTGATGGGGGTCGGTCTGTTGCTTGTTGGCATATGCATTTCATAGTAGAAAGTTGTGGGTGTGATTATACTTACCGACATGTCGTAGACTTCATGGTCACCCTCACACCATACCGAGTAGAAAAGGTTGTATTTATCTCCGATTACTCGGATAGCCTTATAGGTATTCGCTTTCCCGCTCAGAAGGATATCATTCTTATCCGAGACTGCTCCCCAGTGCTCAACTTCGACATGCTCCCATGGCTCGTCGGGGGTCGTGGTTCCTTCTTTTGGAATCACAGAGCCGTCAAAGTCGCCCGGTCCCTTGCCGTCGGCCCATTCCACAATAGTAGGAGCAATATCCAAGTGCGAAGTGACAATGTCGGCTGTCTTGCCCTTGGGGATACCCGGGCCACGGATAATCATTGGGACGTTGACGTCTTCTTCGTACGGGCAGCGTTTACCGGGCATCAATCGATGCTGGCTGATGTGGAAGCCATTGTCGCTGGTGTAGATGATGTAGGTGTTATTCAGCATGTTATGGCGCTTCAGAGTATCAATGGTTGTCTCGACCAGGTCATCAACAGCCTGGAGGGCCTGTAAGCGACGACGATAGAATAGATCATTGTCCTTGATGACGGCATCGGACAGTTGCTTCAACTCCTGGACCCAGGCGGCGCCGCTTGGCTACCTTGATTTAGTGTTGCGATTGAACCCGCGAGATGAAGTACTTACCTTATCCGGGTTAAAGGAAACACCTCTAGGAACTTTGGTATCATTGAACTTTCCCTCGTGTCTCTTTGCTGGAACTGGCTTAGTCCAGCCCTTGCCCCATTGGTAGTTGTTGTGCGGGTTGACCGGGTTGATTGCGAGGAAGAATGGCTTCTTCGCCTTTGCTGCGTCATCGATCCAGGCCATTGACTTATTAGCTAGTAGGTCGGTTGCGTACACGCCGGGGTAGCTCTTAGGCTTGTCGAAGTTATGTTGAAGCGTCGTGTTAGTGTATTGATAAGTTCCTGGTTCTAAATCAGCGATGCAAAAGCGTTTGAAGGGAATAGATAATCTCACCTGGTTCGATCATGAAGTCATGCCCGTCAAGTCCCATCTCTTTCAGTCCATTCATGTAGTTTTTGGTGTTATGGGTGTTCATCAGCTTGCCGGTGAAGTATGTCTTGTAGCCGGATTTCTGCATGTACACCGGGAGCCACTTGGAGTTCCATCCCTCTTCGACGAACTTGGGGTATCCACCTATCAATATCAGTGAAATTGTCATCATATATGGCTAGTTGAGGCCGTGGATCTCTCACCATAGGGGGGTTTGAGGCTAGTGACGTTGGTATTGTGAGCTGCTTTGCCAGTCCACAAACTAGCCCGGGCAGGACAGCACAACGCCACTGTCGCATAGTGGTGGTTGAAGTAGACACCCTCATCCGTCAAAAGCTTCTTCACCTTAGGCATATATTTCATCGAATCCAATTGCTGGTCTTGATCATCGGTGAGGATAACAATGAAGTTGGGCTTGTTGGCTGCTGCGCTTTCCTCGTCCTGCGCGACGGCTGCCGCGGCTGCCATCCATAGCCAAAAAATGTATTTCAAAATCATGATGCATGAATTTGGCGATGGTCTTTTGATCTATTTCCTCATGTGAATATCGATGGAAGTATTCCCGTCTTACTTTTTTATAGTAGATGCTGTCGTGCCAAGACACGGGATATTCCACCCCCTCCCCTTCATCACAGTGATTGAAGTGCAATAGGATCTGGGGACTGTACAATCATTTCCACTTTCAGTCAGGCCTTCGCAAGCAAACCCTGATACCAAGCCTCGCTTTTCCATTTATATCACTTGGCTCGTCTAGTTAGCACCATCATAGGATGCCAACACAGTGCAGAGATATGACTGGGACGTCCCTCATTAAGGCCTTCCATGTACGATGTGGGGCGCAGCTTGATCGACGTAAGACGTGACTAGTAGACTGGTCAAGTGTTTAATTTAACACAGGGTCAAAAGCGAAGGGACTGCATAAGCTTCTGAGGCTTAGCAGCATGCCAAATGTGCGAACAGCCAATTGTTGACGAAGAATAGACGATGTGGAAAACCCCAACACTAATAGCTCGTATATCAGCCCGTGTAATACAACCTTGAACGTATTTCGACATTACGTCAACAAACACGAGAAGAAGAGAGGATATTAGGACAATATTTGGATAATACGAACCAGCGTAGTTGCTGCTCTGACAGTCCAGAGAGTCGGACTAGAGACACTAGAGATCAACTAACAGTATTCTTGTTAGGTATTTTGCTGTGTATCAATACATGACCAGATGACACGAGAAGGATTTGGGGTGATGTTGGTTTCTATAAATACTATTCTATTTTTTATGTGGCGTTTTGGCTTGGCGAAGGAAGTACGGAGTATAGGTGGAATTTAACTGGACGACCCACGAAAGAATGCTCCGTACAACATCCACGAGCTCTCCTCAACTTAATTTTCATTCTTCTACTTATTAACTCTATTGAAAGCTTTTAATTAACACCAGGAAAATATCTGGTAAAGTATCCAAGCTGGACCTAGGGTTTAGCGATATAGACTTGATTGAGAAACGTTTTTTATTCATACTACATTAGATTCCTGCCTTACCTATAAATTATTTACTAAGCTGATATCACGGATAAACGCCGACGTGGGGAAGAGCGGTCCACTGAATTCCATGTCATACCTAAAAATGGTTTAGTAGGACATCAGGAGCAAATATGTAGCGTGATCTCACCAGTAGTTAACAGCAAGCACAAAGCCCTCGTCCTCTTCTGTACAGGATTGTGAGACCTTGTGGTACCTACAGCATAAGCTGGTGAGCACTCGTATGTAATGGACAGCAGAGGGGAGAATTACCACATGGCTGGTAGATATAGCATATCTCCCGGGTTCAGAGTGACTCTGAGGGGCTGGGCATACTGGGAGAATGGGGTGTTGTTCTCAGAAGGCCGATCAGGATCCCAAGTGGGAAAGGGAACGGGCTCATCGTTGTCATCCATCTGGAGGACGAGTCCATCATCCGTGCGAACATATGTTGCAGGCTGCAGGGGCTTTTCATTGACACAAGAATGACAGAGAGCGGGAAACAAGACAAAATGCTTCCTCCCGAGAACTTGGACATAGATGTTCTCGTAGTTGTCCTTGTGCATGGCTGTAACCGATTTGGAATTGCCTATCCACAAATTGACCGCATCGGGCATTTTGTCAAGCGCAATTCTGGCAAAGGGGATGTCTTTTTGAACATCCGAAAACAGGGTAATGTATTCATCACGAAGATTATCATTCTCTAGCATGGGTGTCAGTTTGGCGTGGTGAATTACGGGGGTGAATGAGACCGGCCGAACTTACGCGTTTGGGCATATCTCACTTCCGCATCCTGGGGGAAGTCTGTGTCCGTTTCATGACGGACAACATACTCTAGGAATGTGTCAAATGGTTGATCTTCGTAGTGGGGTTTGGCAAACACCGGGGACTCGTAGTCGGGATGTCGTGTGGGAGCATCGGCGTTACTTAGAAATTTATCCGTGATTTAGCGTGGCGTGTCTTGAATTAAGAAACGCACTTACCCGTAAGGGGTGACAGCAACATTGACGGTCTGATCCTTAAGGGCCTTGAGAAGATAAGCCGAGTTCCACTCTTGACAAGCTTTCCAAGAGAGAGCACCGCCTCGAATCACAAATGGCGTGTTGCGGGCCACAAAACGCATAAACTCGAGAGGACTCGGTTCCTCGTTCAGTTCCTCCACCACATGGCTGTTGAGCTCATTGAATGTAGACAAAAGCTCAGCAATCGCTGCACTTGCAGTTTCCGATGCCATTATTATAAAACTTTCTTTCTGTTACACTAAGTGAGGTGCTTGGCCTACTCGTTGAAACAGTCTGGAGGCGCTTTGGCGATCTCCGTGCGGTTGTGGGGTGTGATCATCGGGGCGGCAACCAATGACAAAAACCGCCGACTAGGGCACAAGATGTGATACGCGCGCGATTGTATTTAATATTATATAGATAGCCTAATCGCGCTGAGGATTCCAATCCTCAGCGCGATTCGTTTCTGTTTGAATACACATACATTTCCCCCTAGTAATCTGAACACCGAATAACTTCCTTGTACAGCCATCTTGTAGCCCGTTGGCCTACCGAGCCCCGCCAGCATACCGCTAGCCCACGCGTACACCTCAAGGGCCCTTACACCTAGGCCTAATCCAGCGCTTCCAGAGCTTATATTTCTACCACCACCTTGCAAATTTATATCGTTTCTTCACTGATTCTTTCGATAAAGGTATTCTCTTCTTTGACTTCCATTTCCTAATATGGTATCACTTTAGAACCCGCTTGATTGTTGAGACAGAGAGAGAATTATGTGTGCCTGCAGCCAGGACCCTCCAGCTTAATGTTGGAAATCTGCGTACCGTCTGGTATATATATCTTGCAGTTGATTGGCTAAACTTTGACGGCCTTCCCGTTCTAGGCTTAACAAGTGTTTTGGTGGTAATCCAGCGGTTTTTAGTATTATACACCACGCGCCTGGGAACGCGAAACTCAGTCGCGACTTTCGTCGGTGATTTGACAGCCGCCAAAGCATATATGATGGCCGCACGAGATTCCTTTGAGAGCTCTTCTCCAGGCCTTCGAATTCCGCTTATTTTGGTGCCGAAAGCTCTCATATTGGTGGAGTTGTTGGTGGTTGAAGTTTAGAAGTTCTATGGTCGCGGGAAGTGTGCACAAACTTTTGACCCACGTTGTATATATAACACCACATCTGCCTCCCAAAATCAAAAAGCCGATCTCAATAAGAAACGAGGAGCTTCCGGGGACCCCAAGACTTATCCCTGGTAGTCGCTCCGAGCCGCAGTGAGGCTCGGAAGAGAATTCGAGAAAGGGTTGTTGTCGACTGTCATAATCATATATGATTTCTCCGCGGAGACATCTTCGGGGCGGACAAGGAAAAGGCGGAGTGAGGGCGCACGGCCCCTGTCAGGTCTCTCAATTGAGCTTATTGCCATCATGTTACGCAAAGTGCTAAAAGTGGCCTAGGTAAGCGCGTACAATCAGAACGAGAGGCTTTTCCCCAGGCAACAGGGTCCGTTGCACTCTTAAGAGTGGTGTTGCCATGAAGAGGCCACGTCTGGTCAGCCACGATTAACATGTTAAGAAGAAAGGTTCGGCGCCGCTTGTCCATCATCAGCAAATAGATAGACATGAAACAACGGCCTTGTTCTCCACAGAGCGGGGTGTGTACTTGAAGAGGAGCCAAGGGTTTTAATCCCGGTATTTCACGCCGAAGGAGCCTGACTGTCTCCACTAGTGAGGTTACAGAGGTGTGGCAGATGCCCATCATGTCGCATTTGAAATTTTAGCTGCATGAAAGGAGGATTCTTGTACTACTCTCAGTTTATTGTACATAATTTGCATGAGGCTTTGAGCGCAGAAGAGGAGCATTTTCCACTAATTTCGAGGAGATCGTCAAGAAGAGATGGCAGTTAATTGGTCAACGAAGTCCGTACCCCTGGAGGGCACAGGCACTGCCCCGGAATTCAGCCTTTTCACTGAAGCTCACCAGGAATAAAAGCAACAGAGCCGAGGCGAATCCGGTGTTAAGCAAAGTCATCTTTCCTCCCCACTTCACAATGAATCCAGATTCAGAAGCAGTCTCGTTTGAACTGCAACCATCCGCAAACGCCTCTGAGACAGCGTTGGTCACAAGAACCAGCGCAGACCGTGGACGGCCATCAGCTTCTAGTCTTCGTGAGAATTTACTGATTCCCGAACGGTCGTAATATTAATATCGTTGGTTTAGTAAACGATCGGCATCCGAGCGACGTGGTGGGAGATACCGAATCAGCAAGCGGAAGCAGAAGCAGCATCAGTCGTGATTCACGCTGCTCATCGTTTCCAGCACCCGAAAACCAAGCGGCTAGTACAACCGATGAGCCCTTATTGAAGAAAACCGGGAAGTTCCTGACAGGGAAGGACAGTTGGCTATGGGAAATCACCTCCCTGATTTTCAGCGCGGCGTGTGTGGTTGCGATGGTGGGTGTCCTGATCGGCGTCCAAGGAACGTCTCTCTCCGCGTGGCATCTACTAATAGCACCGAACACGGTGATTTCAGCTCTTGCAACAGCCTCAAAGACAAGTTTACTCCTTCCTGTAACTGAATCTATCAGCCAGTTAAAGTGGGTGCATTTCAACAGGGCCCATCGATTGCGCGACATGGACTTGTATAATAGTGCAAGTCGTGGACCCTTGGGCGCTTTGATTTTTCTTTTCAGGCTACCATTGAGCCTGGGAGCTCTGGGAGCGATTATAACAATTGTCGCTCTAGGATTTGATCCGTTTGCACAGCAACTGGTCTCCTTTCCAAGTCGCCAGGCCGCCATGGACAATGAGACAGCGTCGTTCAAGGTTAGCCAGGCTTATGAATCCGGGGCGTATTGGAACTATCAAAACACTGTAGTCGGTGAGTGAAGACGATATTTTTTTGGCGGTGTCCTATGCATACATGCAAGCTGACAATGCTAAAAGATTACACCGACTTCGCCATGCAGGGCGCCATTCTCAACGGGCTCTTCGGCTCTCCTTCACCACGCGCATTCACCTGCCCAACGTCGAATTGCGCCTGGCCGCAGAACCCCAGCTACCTATCGCTGGGTGCCGTGGGCGAATGCAAAAATGTAACCCAGTCAACCGTGAACACCTGCCAAAGTTTCCAGAGCACGTTGTCCACAGACTGCACCATCACAACACCCGGAGGATTCCAGCTCGGGTCCAAAAGGGAGCACGAAAGCGCGAGGTTCAAGTTTACGCAGCTGAACACGACCTTGGCTTCTAATGATTCAAATGTGGACCTTATCAACTTTGCCGTATGGCGCGCATTGGGGACTGGAAATCTGTCAGAATTCGAAGTCCTCGAATGTCGTTTAAGCCTTGCCGGGTTCCTCTACAGCAACGTATCGGTCACGCAAAATACCCTGAATATCCAGGACGAGACTCACCTGTCGCTGGAACCTGTCAATGCTGCCAATTCTGGGTTGAACCTGTTCAGGCCAGCCGGCGTTGACTTCCCAGAGCAGGCCATGTTCGCAGTGCACGGGGCAGATCTTACCAAGATACACAAGCTTCTACAGCAGACTTTCATTGCTGAAGCCATGTTCCCCTTCGGCGATACAACCGATCTAACCGGAGTCACTACCGACGTTCTGATCGCCGGCAACCTATCTCGCATCGTCGAGGATATCGCCTCGGGAATAACCGAGCGGATTCGCACCGGGCCAAACAGTACAGATTCCAATGGGGTGGCATACCAGTCAGAAACCTATATCAACGTCAACTGGCCGTGGATAACACTACCAGTGCTAGTGGTTATTGGCGCGGCGGCTTTGCTCGCATGCAGCATTATCTCCAACTCTCAACATAGGGGGGCTCTGTGGAAGTCTTCCAACCTGGCTGTCTTGTTTCACATTGTCAACGGAGTAGGGGACTATGGCCACCTACCTTCGTCAAACGATGCGCCTCTCGCTAGTGTCGAGGCTTTGGCGGAGAAAATGCGTGTCTCGAGGGGGGATAACATGGAATTCACCCCTAGCGCTTAGATATTGCATTGCAAATGATTTACAGGTCAACATTAGGGTCAAGGTTAGGATCAGTAAAAGAAAAAGGCTATACCCTAACCAAGAAGGGATGAAAAAAGATAGTACATTCGGTTTAGGATGGGACCTGTTTAAGAGACAGCTGCGATTAGAATCAATATATTTATTTTAAATTTCTATATAGATTTGCAATCAATTCTCAGATTTAATGAGATTTAAATTTAGCCAGATTTTTAAATATATTTTTTATATTAATTGTCTAACCGAGAAGGGGGAATAGGATATATCTGGATCCTATTTAAGATGGGTCCTGCTTTGCAGATAACCGGATTTAGAGTTAACTGTATATCCTATTTAACAATCGATATATATTTTTGTAAACCATTGTAGTCTAATCTGTTTAAAAATTGATTAATATTTTGAATTAATATTAATACATTATAAATTTATTTTAAAGTATATTTAACTGTTTTTTAATTATATTATAGTGTGATTGCAAGTAGCGGTATGCTATGAGAGGTAGAGAGTTGCCGACCTTTCGTAGGTCTGGGGGATAGCTATGGCCTTTATATACATTAGGGGTAGCTACGCTAAGTCCCTTCCAAGTGGAGCTATAAGGTTCCCCCACCAGTTGTAGTGTCACAGATCCGATGATGACTCTGCATCATGACTGTATCGTATACCCTGCCCGTTGTGCATATACAGCTCGGAGGCCGAACGGCGACGACGGATCACATATCCGTTGACTTTTCAATAGCGTATAGTAGCTCCTTGTCAGTCTTATCCTGTTAGGAGAATACGGGGCTTCTTCTGGATATAAAGTTAGCCTAGTGTTAATGAAAGAAGAAGGCAAGAATCAGTCTTCTGTCTGCCTGATATCTACTGCTTAGCTTTCGGCCTACGTACCCTTACCTAGTTGGCAGGTCTTCTACCCTGAATAGTAGATATTTCTTTGACATGTAGCTCTCCTCTCTGGTAACCCCGTCGTATTCAAGATCACATATAGATAAGTTTAAACTTATATATATATTTAGATATTCCAGTATAAGATTCTGTATATAATATATATAGTATAAGAAAATATATAAATAATATCTTTTTATTTTAAAGAAATATATTTACTACTATATAAAATCTTTTATTAATAAGTCTAATCTAATCTATATATAACTTAGATTTCAATCAGATTTAAACTTATCTTTCTTAAGATAAAATATTAAAGTATATTAAATTTAAATCTACTTTAAATTAATAAATTATATATTTAGTTCAGTTATATATTCAGTTTAAATAATCTCTAAATAAATATAAAACTCTACCGATCCTCAAATATTGTCTAGTTTAAATAGAGTTTAAAGTAGCCTAAACTTTACATAACTAAGGCTCCGAGGGGGTCAGACCCATCCTGACCCCCAGCCACTAATTTCTGCCCCCCCCCCCCCCCCCGGGAGCTGTAAGCCCAACACGGAGCCCTCACATGCTGCCCTCACAAAAGCGGCGGCATCCGAATCGGGTAACAGGACCCAACTCGCAGCAAAACAGTTCACTTATACACTAGCGTGTGATTTGTTCTTTATAAGGCAGCTGCATAGTTCCTAAATCTTATCGATTTTAAAGCCCCCCAATCTACAAGGCACCATTCAACCCTTCCCTAACAGCATCTCAAAGGACATGGATACAGCTGTATTCACTCTCTTCCCGAACCTTCCCCCAGAGCTCCGCAACCAAATATGGCGAGATGCTCTACCTGACAAAGTTAGGCAGGCTCTATACTTCTATAAACGGGGTTGTTGGCAGAGTCGACCCCTAACAGAAGAAGATGACGAATATAACCATGATAACGACCAGCTTAACATATGTCACGAATTCCGTCACGACCTATTAGACCCTATTGAAGTTGAGATGCCACTCCTCTTTGTCAACTCTGAAGCCCGTGGCATTGCTTTAGCCTGGGTGCAAGGGCAAAATCTTCAGATAGGCTTCTGCGAAGACGGACAAACCCCCATTGTCATACGCCCATTTGACCCAGCCCATGATACACTATATATTTCGCTCGATGCTTGGGACAACTTCTCCAACGAGCCTTGGGAGGCAGTAGCCGATAGCGTGTATTATAATTGTGTCCCTCCAGCGTTTACACGCATCGCCGTGCCCGAGCCATTTTTCCAGTATGATATCAGCCTATCGGATCTTTTTCACTTCTACTATAACCTCAAAAAGGTTTTCATCATTCCCAATGCACAGGCAAATATACATTCTGAGAAGGAAGGTCTAAAGATGCAGCGGAGGTGGGAGCTTCAGAGCACTCAGGGACCGATGCTATTCTGGAATAACGACCGTGAGTGTTTTGAGTGGAAGGATTGTGCAGACATCAGCGACAACACCATGAGTACGGTGATAAAGAAGGCCTGCGATGGGCTAGATAAAGAGCTCATGTTTTTCGAGATGAAAAGCTTTCAGGTCCAGGCTGCCTTTGCCATTAGAAAGTGAACGGAGGCCGTCTTGCTTGACATTACATTATGTGCAGACTAGAACCGAAACATAACTTGCCTTGCGGCTAAACGACTCCTGGCCCAATTGAGAATGTTGAATGACAAGGTGTGCAGAAGAAGACCTTCCCAACTTTTATTTTCGAGACAAAACTCAAATATTTTCACACAGAAAGATTAGCACCCGCAGCCCATTCATCTCCTTCATCCTATTACATACGATCTTCAATTCCATGAATATTCTCCAGATGAGACATTACCAGTCCACGCATCCCTTCCTTATAGACGCCATAAGCCCTCCAGAGCTTCCTCATCGTGTCAACACTGACCCGCTGCCCCTGTCTGTGAGTCCCAGTATAAGCCGTGAAATAGGCCCCAGTACCGTCTGCAGATACGGCATAGCGGACATCGTCGAATTCAGTCCCGTCGGGAATATAGGCAGCGAGGCGCATATCGTAGACAATGAGGAAGTATCCCATGCCAACATCGAACCCGAAATGAACATCGATGTTGTCCTGTTCTTTCATCCAGGTGACCATGCTTTTGATATTAGCGGTGTCTGTGCGGATTTGGTATCATGCTTACTTGAAATTTGGGATGTTCGTTGAAAGCGAGGGATCGGCAGATTGAAATTGTGGGATGGGACTCGGTCGTTCAGGCCTTCCAGAGTGATTAAGATCTGATCAGACTGAGTGTTAGTAGTACTCAATCTGATGACGGGAATGAGGGTTTATGCACTTAACGGCAATGCGATAGACGACAATCTGTACCTAATTCTTCTGATATTCAAAGGTATCGCTGTCGTTGCAGTGATCAAGAGATCTACTACAATAAACAAGGACGAATTTGGAGATGTGTCCTAGAAGCCAAAAGTTGAGCACTGTGATAATTTTTCAAATATGACTAAAGGAAGTGAATTAAATGCTGTATTCACTGCATGTCTGGCACTATCAAGAGGTCTACCTTAGGCATCAACTATATGGCATAGTCATATTTCCGCCAGTAGTGCTACGAGCAAGCACATATACATCTACAATCCGTACTGCACAGTAAATTGAGTTCATTCTTCTGCCCTTTCACATTATCACATATGATCCTCGATTTCAAAGCAGGTCTCTCCGTTTATCCATACCTGTGATCCTCAGGGCACGCATACCAGTCTAATAGACCTCAAATTTCTTCCAAGCGTTATCCAACTCAACAAGGCTGACATATTCTTCTACGTCATCTCCCCTTCCACCAGTATGAATCACAGGAGATGCCTCATCACATAGTTCGCATATCTTCTTACAGACCACATAATTTACACTCATATCTACTGCCACCTAGAGAGCGATTCTCAACAATGATATAGAATCTCAAGATTGTGGGGTCTTTGAGACTAAGCCACTTTTCATAACCATAATAGATATCCTGATTTCCCCGACGCTGATGGAAATGCGCCATACTTCTTGATACTAGTGATATAGATCCTGACTTGAGGGTTAGTATTATTACCTGAAGTGCAATGTTTGGTAATAGCGTAACTTTTGTGGTTAAGCTTTGTTTTTTAGTGGATTGCAAGAGTTATAGGTTCTGTTTAAAAGAAAAGAGTTCAGTAGAGGAAACTGATCCAGAGGATTATACTGGGATTATATAGTGCTAGGAGAGAATCTGCTGCGCAACTATCTGTCCGATATGTTGGCATTAGTACGGCGATTACCTAGGAATAGGCATAATAGTACGTCCAAAGACAAGCATCGAATCATTACCTATATGTTAGACGTCGGAAGCTACTGATATGTCTGCTGCGAATGCCCTTTATTGAGGTCGAATGCGCGATGGAACTTTGCAAAATCATTATAGGTGTGTTACGCGTGATACCATCACTCTCGCTTTGTTCCTCAAGTTCTGATAGTAGCCTTGGTATAAGCCTTTTTCTTTCGGAGCCCCACGCTTTTTTAATACAACGCCAGGCAACCGGATATTATCACAGGAGACTAACCCAATCTCTCAGGAATACAGGAGGTCTTCAGTTTAACAACCAACATCTATCACCTATCTGAAACAATACGCATGGTGTCATTTAGGGAGTATGGATAGACCTAGTGTCTAATTGATCCCCTGCATTTCCAGTGAATACCATACCTCGATAGTGTGGAAATCATATACCTTGTTCTCACATTGAGACCGGTTCAAGAAAGCCCCATGTTGAGACTGTCTGTCTCGTGGAATATCCCGGCAATTCTATATGGTAAGCTTGTGCTTAAAAACCACCTTGAAGAAACTGGAAACTTACTGAGTGAACTTTCTTGTTATAATCTTTTGCACAGGATACTTAATGTCTAGTACTGAACAAAATGTCCAATCATAGCTCACTGCATCTGTGTAGTCGAATATTAGAATCAACTCCGATGAGATATTCTCAACCCAACAGTCAACCTTGCGGTGAAGAGTAGGTGAAGTCCAAAGAGGGAGATAGAGGTTGAGTCGTCGGTCTGACGTCCTGGAAATTTCGGTTGTTGAGGACGGTAAATGCTACCGTTTTGGTGAGAGGAACTAGTCCTATCTGAGAGGACATAGTCATCATTAAGAAGTGATATATCTTCGTCATATCAAAAGTGTTCCGAATGGTATGATTGGTGCTGAGAGGCTCCACATGGGCCTCGATGCGATGCCCTCCACGAGAGCAATCGTATAAGGTTGCCCAAACTGTGGAGAGCGGGAAGTGGCGCCTATGAAGTTGTGGGGGTGGATAAAGTCAATCCGGAACATGGCCGGTGGACTGATGAGCTAAAAAGTCGAAATTGCCCTTAGTCCAAAAGCCCTAGCCTTGTATATCTGGGGTAGGAGGTGAAACATAAACACGCCGTAAGAAGGTTGATGTCCCGAATGACCATTTTATTCCTTATTCCTTCAACCCTCAGCCCTTCCAATAAGCCATCATGGACCTATCCGACGTTGAGGGCAACATGAAGGACGTCTCCTCTCATGAGATTGAGAACGTGAATGCCTCTGAGACAGTCTCGTTCACCCCCGAAGAGGAGAAGGCGTTGGTGAGGAAGATTGACCTCACCCTCCTTCCTACCATCTGGATCATGTACCTCCTGTCCTACCTTGACAGAACCAAGTAAGTGGGAGCGTGTTAAGCTAGAGGCTAGATACTCTGTTAGGGGCTAACGGGCGCCTGTGTACAGTATTGGCAATGCAAAGATCTCTGGTATGGAGGTAGATCTCAACTTGACATCCAACCAATACTCGATTGCCCTGGTAGTCTTCTTCATCGGATACGTGATCTTCGAGGTGCCTAGCAAGTATGCCAATCCTATCATCAGCACTCAGTACGCAACCTCATATCGTCATCACTAACTGCCCTTTCTCTACAGCCTTGTCCTGGGCCGATCCCGACCATCTATTTTCCTTCCGTCGATCATGATTCTCTGGGGCGCATTGACTTGTGTGATGGCTGTTGTCAAAAGTTTCACCCACCTGGTAGTCCTTAGAGTTATTCTTGGGTGTGTCGAGGCCGGCTTTGCTCCCGGTGTGCTGCTTATCCTGTCATCATGGTACAAACAAACCGAACAGTCGAAGAGATTCGGTGTGTTCATCTCAGCAGCCGTTCTCTCTGGTGCCTTTGGTGGTCTGATCGCTGCCGGCATTGTTGATGGCCTTGAGGGCGTCCATGGTATTCGTGGTTGGCGATGGCTATTTATTATTGAAGGCGCCGCCACTGTCGGTTTCGCTATCATATCCCTCTTCATCCTTCCTGACTTCCCCGCGACGTCGCGACATTACTCCGAGCGCGAGAAGCAAGTCGCCGTGGCACGCCTAGCCACTGAAAATGTCACCGCTACCACCGAGGATACCGAACATCTGAGCCCCTTGGAAGCTTGTAAAGTGGCATGCCAAAACTGGCGCACCTGGGCCTTCATAATTGGATACATGGTTCGTCGCTTTCCATCACCCAAACCTTCATGGCTCTCATTTTCGACCCTCCAGTTACTAACCACACCATTCCCCACAGGTCATCGTCGGTTCAAGCACCCTAACCTACTTCTACCCAACCCTCGTCGAAGGACTTTTTGGAAACGCCTCCACCAAGAAAGTCAACCTACTAACTGTCCCAATCTACGGCGTAGCATTCATCGCCACCGGCATCACCTCCTACTACAGCGACAAAGTCCCCACCTGGCGCGGGCTAATCATTGCCAGCTGGCTAACGATCTCCCTAATATGTTCAGTGATCGTCTGCGCTCTATACAACTTCACAGCCCGATATATCCTCCTTGTTATCATGGCAGCCGGCCTCTGGGCCACAAATGGAGGTACACTAGCCTACGCCTCCTCTGCCTTTGCAGGGATGCACCCGCAAGCCCGAGGTGTTGCGTTAGCTATGGTGAATGCACTGGGTAATCTGGCACAGATCTATGGATCGGTATGTAATTTGATATCCTCACTGAACTCGTTGTGTACCTGTTTTGGGGCGCAAGGCTGACCTGGATTTTGTGATAGTATTTGTTCCCCGAGGATGATAGTCCGAAGTATATTATGGGGTTTTCGGTTATTTCGGCCATGTTGGCGGTGGGTGTGGTTGTGTTTTTGTTCTTGCATATTTGGTTTCGGCGTCGTTTGAGGGAGGGGATCATTCAGTGAGGGATGATGTTCTGCTGTATTGGATGTTGGATCTTGAATGTTGAATGGAAGTATGGGATTATGAATATATATGAATCATTTATGTAACGCCAGTGAGGGATTGCTAGAATTGAGACAAACATTGAATGCAAAGGCAGATGCGGAAGACGATGGGTAGGATCACATATAGGTGTAGGAGAGACTCTCCTGCGCCTGCATAGCTAGACGTCCAATAGTTAGGTCCTTTCAGGTTAATAGAATCTTGATTGATTGGAATAGATACAATGTTGCGCATAAAGCAGTGTGGCTAGGACAGTATACGCGCCAAACCCTACATGTAAGATTGAAAGAGATGAGGGGCTTCTTGGGCGAGATACTCGATGAGTATTTATCTTCTCCCAAATCGTCGATATATCACCCATCCTACTCATTGCCAGTAGTCGGATTGTTTGGCTCGCAAGAAGCCACTCCACTGTTTGCAGACAAGCTCCCATTTCTGCTGTTTGCTAAATCATGAAAGGGAAGCCGGGGCTCATCGGCCAACCTAATTGTAGCGTAAAATGCACGCGTGCAGATGACATGGGGTCGGTGGTACTCCACGTACTGGCCAGGAATGGCATTTCTTTCTGGTCGAAAGGTCTTTAAGGCCTTTCAAAAGTGGTTGGGCGGTACATCTGCGCCTGGTCTATGCCCGGTGTATGCAACTGAATAACAACAGCTCAAGTGTTGCAATTGCCTCATCTCATCAGGCTATTGAAAGCATCTTTTGAGTACTGAAGCTCAAGTTCCTTTCGGAGGGAGACCAAGGGCCAACAGACCCTTTGTTGACATGTGTCCAGAAGATCCAAAAGCGCGAGTCGTTCATGTGGAGTGTGTACACACATCCCCGCTATTAAACATTAGCATTATGCGAGAAGGGTGAACAATAGGGTCAACGTCACGTACCCCTAAATAAACAGTGTAGCGAGGTCATGTTCGCTCCATCATCGTTTTCATCAACAGATCTCGCAATTCCGCAGATTGTGCTCACAGAAACGGCCACCATATGCTGTGCTGCTTGGCAGTCATCAAGGTCGCCAGAGGAGGGACGGTGCAAGATAACAAGGATCAGTGCAAGACTGTGGATTTGTAGAGCCGCGGCATAAGATGGTGGGTGCACCCAAATCGGTGGAAAGATCTCGATATTGGATACGGAAGGCAGAGGACTATATTCCGGCGGCAATATTTCACGCCATTCCTGGAGTAGGAAGAGCAGCTTATCTGCCCAGTCTAGACGGTGTGCTAAGTTCGAAGCTTTCTCTTCTTCTATCGATGCATAGTTGATACACTGGGAAAGGAGGTAGATGGCGCGCGTTGCGAGCTCTGGCACTGTGAGCGTGGACAGTGGCTTTTTAGGACTCCAGAGACTAAAGACTCGACGTCGTTCTCGCATGGCGATCCAGATATCCTGTTGAAGCCAAGCCCACCAGACGGCTGACGGCAGTCCTCCGGCTTCTCCATTGTTTTCCTGGAGCTTTTGGATCCAAAACACACCTTTTATGTGTCTTTTCCAATTTTGATTCGAGCCGTTGATCATTTCGTAGGTGCTGATGAGAATGGCCGTCGCAATCATATCCAAGCTCCGCGCATAAAACGGGTAATGCATTGCTTTGTTCAGATACTCAAGGGCCTCCGAGTAGTATTCAACCGCAAGATTGCGGTCAATTATATCTTCTCGGCAGCACGGAATGCCATTCTTTTCAATTGATGTACGAACAAAATTCCCTTCATCACGTTCTCCCAGCGTGAGATGGCGCGCAGAAAGGGCCAGCAATGCTCTCATCAAGCCCACATTCCTAAGCGCTATGTGCGGAACCGTTGTTGCAAAATGTATTTCTGGGTCATAAAAGTCCAGCAATTTGCTTGTCACGCGCACAAAATACCCGAAAAGATAATGCTCCAAGTCCGAAAGAGGAATTGGGTACTTTGAGGTCCATAACGAAGGCGTGTTAGTCGGAACGGACGCAGTGCCGGGTGGTTGTGAGACGATTCGCTGTTCAATTTGTTTATCTCTTTTGAAGGTAGCAGCATGAAAGCTCTCCTGTTCTTTTGGTGTGCTAGGACGCATGTTGGAACTGTTCCGCAGGTCGTCTCCAGTCTCGATCCGGTTGCGAGAGAGCTGCGGCGGCGACAGTGGAAACTCGGCATTAGCATTGGTGGCATCCTTTGTCAAAAGCTCGAGCCATCTCGACGGCACGACCCGTGCTGTCACAGAGCCTTCTGTGCCTGCTGAGGGTATGTAGCCATTGGACGGTTTGGGAGTGGGTATTGCCGCATTCTCGCCCGTGCTCTCCTCTACGTGAGGTCTCTCTTGCCGAGCAGGCTGCCGACGTTGGTGGCAAGAATCCACCATGACCCGCAGGAAGCTGGTACTAGGGTTGCTCCCGCCGTCTCGATCTCCACTCACTTTGTCTGGCGGAGACTGGGGCACACCTACCCGGGCAGCAACTTCATGGCGATGCGGCGAATGCTGAGGCGCGTAGACACAAGGGCGCTGGCCCTTTGCACAGGGGCCGCATTGAGGATGAGCCTGGTCGAGTCAGATATATATCCTTGCCGAGTCAATTCGTTTATTCATCGAAGGGCACATACTTCATCGCACTTGACATGGCGGCGTTTGCAGATGAGGCTAGGGCTACATGAGAAACCCGAACCGGTCCAAAATCCGGGGAAGGGAAAACCACTAACCAACCAGTCGTAGCACGAATCCCGCGTCCTCGGGGCTTGCGTTTTTGCCGATTTCCTCTATCCAACCTGGCCATTACGCGAAGATAAGAAAGAAGGATCGAGGCGAGGTCGTGGGAGTGAACGTGTGGGGGGAAGCAAGATGGAAAGCACGAAGTGGTGGTGGCAGAAATTCAAGTGTCATCGAGCCGAAACGTGAGAAAGGACGTGAGACTCTGTCCGTGTAGCTTAGCGATGTAAATGCCATATACACGTAGATATCTACGCAAAGCGTCTGAGAGTCGTCAATCATGCTCGTTGCAATGTGGCCGGGCGTGGTCTCGATGCGAGGTACCATCTGACCCGCACGCTGGATCGCTTCAAGGACCAAGGACATCTTGGCAACCTTTTCTCTGATACAAAAGATGAAGTCCTCACAATTAGTCTCTTCGCCATAGCAGCAGCTGGATATACAGTAGCAGGATACGCAAGTGTTGAGCTGATGAGTGCGGAGTACCCCCCATATTATGTCGAGATGATAAAACACCATTATACAACTGGCGTCACTTCTGGTGCTGTTCTTACGGTCCTGCTCCTGCGTTAGGATGAGTTACGAGAATATCAAGAACTAAGATCTGCAATCTGGCACCACTTAGCATCGACCTCTGGCTAATCCTGCTTTCCTTCGTCTTCGGCATACTTGTCGTGATGGAATCTTGATAGACCGAAGAGCCTGCCGTCCCGTTCGACTGCAGTTGCACCGTGTGTCAACAAGTATTGCAAGCGTTGGCTCGACAATGGTTCGTTGGTATATATTCTTTTCTCTACGCCCAAGACATTCAAAAGCTTCAGAATGTAATTAAGCAAAGAGAGATATCATTCAATTATTGAGGAGAAAGCGCATTATAGACATTATGCCTCCGGTTTCCGAGGTTCAATATTGCCGTATTTCTTCATCCATTGCCAGTTTGCTGTACTTTCGATCAGTGACTTTTTCCGGCCTACTCGGATTAGTTGGTTCGACCATATTGGCCGTAGTAGTGAATTCCTTCCCTTTATGTGGGCCTATATCATCTGTACTTCACAGGGTGAAGCCTTAGAGGGTAGTGTTGGCAGTTGCCATTTGAGAAAGCAGGAAAGGTCGTTAGGGCATACCAATTCTTCATATCAGGTACACTGTTGACGCTGCCTAGTTAGGCCTAGCGCTGTTGTTCATCCTAAGCAGTTTCTCCCCACAGTCATGTTGAATGATAGATTCATCATTCACGCAACATATTCAATCTAATCAAGAAATTCAACCAACTTCCCCTTCTAACGTACACTAATGTTACTATACCTAACACTACCATTCGTACCTACATCACTACCTACATCAAGTCCATATGGATCCTGGTAGAGGTGCAGGCAATAAACGGAGTCCAGCCACCCATCTTGCCAAAGCCCAGATTATGCAAGCTGCGCAGCTACCTAAAAGGCTAAACCGAATGCCTTTGCGCTTTGAGCCGACTGCAGTGCGAGTTTAACTGATTTAGTGGCTCCAAGGTTTGAAGTGGGTCAGGCCGAAGCGGGGGAAATTCAATGAATGCCGGGGAATATTAAGTAGGCCAGTGCCCTCGAGACGACACCACAGATCAGACAAACGAAGCCTCGATGGACATTGATAGCACCGCACGACGAAAATCAACAACTGAGGGTAGGCGTCGCCGCATCAGACCATCTCGGGCCCGCGGCTTGAGAACCAGGACAGGATGGTGAGTGGATGCCCCCTAAGCGAACATCAAACTCGCTTACACGCATGACAGCCTCACTTGCAGGGAGAGACGCGTGAAATGTGACGATGGTAAGCCCACGTGCATGCGATGCTCCAAGTCAGATCGAGTCTGTCGATATGCCCCGGTCGCTGCTGAGCGACATGCAACCGGAGCCGAAGTCGGTGCCGAGTATGTCTCTCCAAGGGTGCAACCAGATTCAAGGGGGAATAGGACTCAGGAGGCTCTGCGGAGCTCCCAGGAGCAGCTGCCAAATATTGGTACAGCGGCATATTATCATCAGGCTACCTGCTCGGCCCATACTGAGCACCCTAACGGCTCGATTGAGACGCCACAGAATGACCCTCTGAACGAGGCTAATGACCAGAGACTGTCCGGCCTTGAATCGGGCTTTTCGACTTCTCCACTTTCACTTAGCCAGATCTCCCTGCTCAACATCTCCCCTTTCGAGTGGTACGATCTGTTAGCACGGGATGCCATTAGCAACATTCAACGGCTGAACGATGCTTCAACGGGCGACCCACGATGGAAGTTTCCCGAAATTGCCCTCTCTCGTAGACAGTCGCCAGCCCCTGAACGTCCTGAGGCCCACCTCGAGCAATCCAACAGGTACTCTGAGCAGCAACAGCAGCACCAGCAGGAGGAAGAGGTCGCTCTGGAACACGGAGACGACGGAATCGAAGCCCCTTTACTAAATCAGCACCATGTACCCGATCCTTGGAACACAACGGGTAGGATAGAATTATCGGCAATCGACGTCAGGTTCTTTCGATACTACATCGAAGTTGTTGGGCCAATCCTAGATTTGTTTGATCCAGCTCGGCATTTCAGCAATGTCGTGCCCCATCTCGCACTACGAAACACAGGGCTCTTGAAGTCGATACTCGCAGTTGGAGCCAAGCACATGTCCCTCGGTCTCATGCATATGCCTGGTGAAGATGTGTCAGGCGATTATGCGGCTTCAAACGCGAGTGCTCCAACCCCCCTAGCAACAGTGACTGGCCCGTCGTCCGAAGTAGACGCCGCTCCAGCACACATGGCTACACAGTATTACTATGAGACGCTCCAATATCTCTCACAGACACTACTCTATCCCTCCTATGCGGATTCGCATGAGATATTGGCAACAGCCACCATGATCAGCACGTATGAGATGTTCGACGCTGACAGCGCCACGACCAGCGGTGACTGGGAGAAACACCTGCGAGGCTCCTTTTGGATACAGCGGTCTCAGGACAATGATGGCGAGTCTGTTGACGGGTTGAGACAGGCCGTGTGGTGGGCATGGCTCCGGCAGGACATCTGGGCGGCCTTCCGGGCAGGGCGACCAACCCTCACCTTCTGGCGTGCTCGTAAAGGGCTCGAGCAGCTTGATTCGGATGAGCTCGCAACAAGAATAGTCTACATTTGCGGCAAGTGCGTAGCATATGCCGCTTCGAATGAGACGTCAAATCTGGATCCGCGACACAGAATTGAGCAGGGCAACCGGCTGCTCTGCGCTCTCGACGATTGGTATCGTGTCCTCCCGGCCTCTTACCAGCCGGTCACTGTCGCCATGGATCCTGCCTCGAATACTACTGTGTTCCCTCCAGTATGGATCCACCCGCCTAGCCACGCAGGCGCTATGCAGATGTACAATTTTGCCAGAGCCACGGTGTTGCTGAACCAACCCACGATGGGAGGGCTAAACGCCTACTGCCTCCGTGACAAGCAGCTTATTGAATGTGTCAAGATGGTCTGCGGCATCGCCAATGCCTGCCAGGAACATGAATCCGCAATGGCCTTTGTTAACGTACAGGCTTTGTTTGGAGGTAGGTGTCTCTCCCTGCTATCCTTACTACCATTGCTGACGAAATTCTAGTTGGCCAGTTCATTCGGTCGCCTGAGATGCGGGGCGAGTTGCTCTGTATTTTGGAAAAGATGCTGAGGATTAGCAACTTTCCCGCTCGGGGGCTTGTTGCTGAGCTCAAAAGGGTGTGGCAGGAATGAGATGTAACAAGCAAGTGTGTGAACCTAGCCAGGATAATTCATTCCATGGGGGGCTATGTATAATGTCAAAGGGGGAAACTGCTATGAGCTGCTTGAGATGCTTCTGTTACTTGAATCTATCAACATGATTGCGTGGGAAGAAATCGCTTAGGAAGAACAACTGTGCTAGGCAGCCTAGGCTTAACTAGGCAGTGTCAACATATAACATGACTTATAAAAGCAGTGAAACGAGCCCATACCAATATGGGCGTTCTATGAGCTGGAAATAAATACAAATAAGTATCAATCTCGTGACTCTAAATCGCCTCATGCGGGTCATCCGTGAACATCTTTCGTCGTTATCATAAATCCAGTCCCTTACCACGCTCCCACAATACCAGCAATCGGAATATCGATACCAGTCGTGTATGAAGCACCATCAGAAAGCAAGTACACATAAGCTCCACCGAGCTCCTTGGGGTCAGCTAATCTGGGCATGCCGCCATAGTATTGCATCTTGAGGTCCCAGTCCGGCGCTTGATCCACAAAGTAGGTCATAGCAGTCTTTATGAAACCAGGCGAGATTGAGTTGACACGAATGCCATGCTTGGCCCACTCCATGGCCAGCGTATGTGTCATATTCCGGACGGCACCCTTGGTAGCTCCATAGGGAGCCGAGGGCGCCGCGCGGTTGGGGCGATAGGATGTCATGGAAGCAGTAAATACGATGGAACCCTTGATTCCCAGCTCAATGAACCGGCGGGCAACGGCGGTAGCGCAGAAGTAAGCTCCAAAGACGTTGAGGTTGAACAGTTGGTCTAGCTGGGCGCGGGTGAAGTCGAACGCGGGCTGGTGCTTTGTCATGCCGGCGTTTGCGATGAAGCCGTGGATTGCACCCCGTGCAGTGATAACCGCATCGATCGCGGAGGTGACGCTCTCTTCCGAGGTGACGTCGCAGTGGACGTAGGATAGGCGCTTCGGGTTGGCCTTCTGCAGGGCGGCGAACTCCTCGCCAGGTTCGAACACATCCAGGCTGAAGACGCCTGCAGCCTCGTTGGCTAAACAGACCTCTGCGAGGGCTAGGCCGATGCCCCTGTTGGCACCGGTGATAGCGATGACCTTGTCCTTCAAGGTGATTCTCCAGTCGTGGTCTGGACCTGGCTGGGTGTCAAGGAAGGTGGGTGCAGTATTGGAGGTCGGTTGGGCTGGTGTTACGGCGTTGCTGCCATTGCCGCTGCTAGTAGCGGCGTCGAGCATTTCTGGAGGCATTATTGAAGATCTGTTTGTGTGGTGTAAGAATTAGGGAGGCTTAAAGGGTTGAGTTGAAGATCTTGGGCTGCGAGGGTTCCTTTTTAAATCTA